GGATAATGCTACTTTAAGCTTAGTCATGAAAATGTTTTTGTTAACCTGCTTTTCACAGAAATGCAGATTTTAGACTCGATTTGTCACAAATAATATCCTTGAATACATTGCCTGTCTCAAGTACGTTAAAAGAAATCTAACAGGTGCTGGATTTTACCAGCCCTCAAACACCTACAGTCAAATTAAAATCAACAGCAATCTTACTTTGGTACAGATTATCCGAACGACCACCTTCCAGAAAGCAGAAGAATCAGAACCAGGTTGCACTTCAAATAACAGATGTTTCTCTTGCCCAGAAGCTAATTTTGCAGTACTGAAATAAAGAAAAATCAGTCTAACATCACGTGCCCAGTCTGCAAACATCAGCAAACTCAGTTACTGTAGTATCTCTATTGCTTACCCCTGTGCTTTTTCTATCCTGGAAGGCATTTTATCACTACTGCCCAGAGACATGAAATTTAGGAGTAGTAACCATCTTAGCATGTCATTCAACATAAAGCACCTCAGTCGTTTCACTTTAAATTGCACAGTACATCTCACATAACACCAGCATCCTTGGCAGACTTTGTAATTCAAATATACTTTAACTGCTTATTACAACAATCACACAGTCTCGTCCAATCTAAGACAACTGCTTCCTTATCATTTGTGCAAAACAAGTATGCAATTACCATCACATGCAGACAAGGCGTACTTTTGCTATGTATACACTAATAACAAAACAGTAAGCTGCAGGTGACCCCTGGCTTTTTTTTTTTTTCCCCAAGGAACACAGGCACAGAGGTCGATTTCACAAGAATCAAACAAATTATAGTACTTTCAGGTTGAAGTAAACACTGTCAAGAAATAAAAAACTTGAATGAGAATGGTATCTCGGAGTTAATTACACTGAAATATACTTAGATTTTCTTATGAAACATAAGGAAACATTCTTCAAAACTGATCTACCCAGAAGGCAGCTGTCTGTTCTTGAAGGTGCAAAAGTCATTTGAAAAAACATTACGCTGTCTAAGACAATTTCTAAACTGAATACAAACGCACATTACATTAAACAGTAAATTCTACCAAAACCCACATGCAACAAAACCCCTTTCAGCACATATTTCTTCAACTCAGCTTGTTTCATAACATAAATACCGAGTGAGCGAAAACAACTCTGCTTTTCTATTCCTTTCTTTTTACTGGCAACATATTAGTGAAACAAAATGCAAGCTACAAAAACGTTACTTATGCAGCCTTTTTTGGGGGGACTATTTTGGCTGCTGGTTTCAAAGAGTAAAAGACGCATCTCATCTTTAAAGAGGAACAGCACTGCATGTCCAGAGATGTGGGAGAAATGGTCACAAACAGTTCTGCCTCCAGTTCTACCTTCCTAGTGTTGCTGTATTGGCTTTTTACAGGGCTCGTTTTTCTACTTTCTACTACAAATGATAGGAAGAAAGGAAGCAGCACAGCATCTTCAGTTGATGGAGGATAGGGGCACAAGGTGACTTGAACTAAAAGATGTACTAAATATTGACCTCTTGGGATCTTCTAAGAGTGAAGTAACACCAGCTAGAAGAAAAGTGACTTTAAGGGTGAGAAATGACTTGGTGTATGTGCAACTACAATCTTTATAAAAACTATAAGATCCAAAGTAAATATCTGAAAACCAGTTGGCTAGTTCTGGCTTAGCCAGCACAGAGGAATACACTGCATAGAAGTTCTTTGTAAAACATGGAAAAAAGGAAACAAATGAACACTTACACATCATTAAGTTCAGCTACTCTTCCTAGAAACTCTTCATAGGTTAGGAAACCACTTTCTTGAACCAAAGAAGCATGCTTTGCTACTTTTTCTGGCAACTTGTTCATTATAGTTTGTGTCTGGCTTGAAATCTGTTGACCCATAGTGAAGTTCTTCAACTCAGTTCCATGGAAAGTTCTCATTCACTTGTAAAGTGTCTGCTAAAAAGAGGGTTACATTTGAGTCTTCCATGGCTAGCTGCTCACATCTTTCTTGTTGTGTTAAACTTTAGCCACCTGCTAACTAGACTATTCCACAGTAACACAATTTAACCAAATCAGAAACGGAGCCAAACAGGAGAGACTGGAGCGTGGCATTACAACTCAAGAAATACGTGTTCCTTCTCATAAAGCGCTCCTTGTATTCCACAGACAGTGACTGCACCACACAGCTATAAATACACCCAGCAAACATCTCAAGATTATGGCGGCAGTTTTCCTTTTCACTATTGAAAAAAGAAGTGCTGGTAAAAAGACTCTGCTTTGGGATGCATTACTGCGCAGATATGCTCAAGCCTCTCCAGTTTCAACCTATGCCACCATCATCCCTTCACACTCAAGTCTTTTCCGCCAGCATTTGTCACAAGGTTCCCTCTGCCTTCTGGTTCTGGAAGGCTTCACCTGCTCTGCCGCTCGTTCCCTCTCGCTAACCGTTAGGTGGGACTAACATCGCGATTTCTCCTTGCTTCTTATTCTGAAGCGGCAAAGGTACCCACTTCGTTCTGCCCGCACGGTTTGGTGCTCGCGATTCAAGCTGCTACTTTCACGTCTTCAGAGACCCGCTACGGACAGAGGCCTACAGCGGCAAACTGCTTGCGGGATAGCATCAACCTTAAGAACCGAACAGCGCGCTGCACAGCCCGCAGGAGAGGCACGGCCTAGAGACGCAACCGCACCCCCCGTGCGCGCGGCCACAGGGAAACGGCCGCGCTCGCGCCAGGCCCTCGGCGCCCCGCACTGGAGGCGGGACTCTCCAGCAGTTCTCCGAAGGCGGCGGCGCCCACCCCGACGGCTCCCCGGTCCCGCCCCCGCGCTCGCACCCCTCACCCCCCCCCTCCCCTTCCTCCTCGGGACGCGGACGGCGGCCTCACCCCGGCAGCCCGGCATCCCGCTCGCCGCCTCCCGACGGCAGCCCGGCGGGGCCGCACCCCGCGCCCGGCGTTCGGCGCAGGCGCGGCGGCTCCCGGCGCGCCGCGGTGACGCCGTGCTGCCGTTGGGCGGAAGGGGGCGCGAGGCCGGGGAGCGTGGCGCTGCGCGCGGAGGGCGTGGGAGCGTGAGCTGCGCGCGGCCGGAGCTCCTGACCCGGTGAGCAAGGAAACCGGGAAAGCCAGCCGCGGCCGTAAGTGATAGGGCGCTTAGGGACAGGAGTCCTAGAACAGCCTCTGGAGGTCACCTGCATCCCGACGCTTCGAGTCGTAATTGCAGAATTCGCGTTCCGTCTGTCGTTCAAAGCGGAGAAAAGGAGCGGTGCTTCCCCTGCTTCCCCTTCCTGGCCACTTGAGTCGCGCTCTTCCCACGCCGCGGCAGCCCGTTGTCCAGGGCACCGCCTGGTCTGGGCCGGGAACCCGCGGCTCTTCCTGCGAAGCGAGCGGCCCCGCGGCCGGAGGTCAGCCGGCAGCTGTGCCGCGGGCGGGAAGCGGGACGGGGCCACCGCCGGCGGACTGGGTGCTGCGAATCGCCTGTATGGGAACGCGAGCGGAGCGCCGGCTCTGCGGCGCTGAGAGCGGTTAAAAAGGAAAGGCGTTTGACAAGAGGCAGAGACGCCCTTTCTGAAATCTCTCCTAAGTTTCTGGTGGTGCCAGGTGAGGGTTTGGGCTGCTTGACATCTTGTCTGGAAGTTCATCGAGTGTTTGCTTTGCAACTCCATTAAGCCGTGAGCAGGAACATTTTATACTAATCCAAACATGATGGAGCCGTGCTCATTGTACAGACAACATCAAGTACAGTGCTCACTGATCTGCTATTTGTACCTGGCTTTTATTGCTGACAGGACGGTGTAGCAGCTTCATTTTAGCTTTTGTGATGTTATTGTAAGTGTAAGAGGGAGCAGGTTCCTTGCTGCTCTGACTAGGCCCCAAGGCACGGCACTGAGAGCTCCAGGAGGGTTCATGGAGGGTGAAGCAACCCATGCACACAGCCAGGCAACAGAGTGCAGGTTGGGGTGAACACTGTCTGAGTTTTGAAAGTAAAAGAGATGCTTACATAATAGGGCAACTTCTTCATTCTATTGACGAAAGCAGATTTAAAATAAAAATGACAGCAACAGCAAAAAATCAATAACTACCACTTGCTGATGAGGAAAAGAGAAGCAGGTAATTTCTTATCTAAAAACTGGAAAAGACAGTTGTTAAAGGGCGAAAAAGTCCAGAATTACCTTGTATCCATTGCCTGTGTGCTTAAGACCATATACTTTTCTGACACCCTAGTGACAAGAGATGGCTGTGGATTTCCTGATGGCATTATTCCTGCTTGCTACTCACTGCTTACACGATGAGTGTGCTTTCATTATGTGTGCAAGCAGAGATGCACTGCATTCCTGCAGCACTTGGCAAGGAGAGGAACTACTTAATTGAGCAAGGAGGGCTGTATGTAACAGCTTTCCTCTGTTCTCTGTTGAAAATTTTCTCTGCTGAAGTTCTGTGGATAGGCACTTTAAATTAGTGGTTTGTGGAGCTGTGTGTAACCACAGTCCTGCAGAAGTGGTGGGCTGTGTTTCAACCCAGCTCAGACTCCTGGAGCCATAAAATCTCTCTATGCTATCAGAAACAAAAAACAAACAACAGGTGGCTCCTCTAAATAGGCTATTAGCAATACCCTGCCACTGTCTGTCTAATGGAATATATAACAACTGGGCAAATGTTAGATTTCTGTGAATCAAAAGCATGAAAGGTCACAGCCAGATATTCTGCGCAGTAGAAAACAGCATGTACATGTATGTGAGCAGTTCTGTTACTATTCTATTTAAGACTTTTTCAAGCTACTTGATCTGAAAAAACACCTTTTTGCCATAACTTCAAATATAAAAGTTATCTAAACCATGTATTCAATAAAATATTTGGTAAATTGCTGGTTGTTTTTTTTTCCATTCATATCCACTAATCACTTGTGTAACATTGAGGTTATATGAGATCTTTCTCCTATAAGACAGTTTTCATGAGAATAAATGGTCTAGACAAACATCTCTACCAACTTTCATGTTTTATGAAGTACTCTAAATGCCTTATACCACTTGAAGCCTTTATCTGGAAGGCCTCACTTAAATACACACAAAGATCTTAAATATAACCATTGTAATACAGTTCAAGGTTCTTTTTTCCTGTCAAATATCTGATGCAAAAGAATGATACAGATTTTAATAAATAAAACAGTGAATTATATGATGAGGATACCTTAGAAAGTTGTTCAAGGATGCTGATGAAGATCAGCATCTTTGTACCCTTCTTTTGGTAGTGGAATGGCAGTGGGCCAATCTTGATTTTTTACTTGCAAACAGACTTATTCTGTTTGTAAACAGACTTTTTAAAAAACAGTGTGTAACTACTTAATGGAAACAAATTAACCTACTATTGTTTTACTTATGACCTAGTATTGTTTTATTTTAGGCATTAAGTTAGCAGATCACCCATACAGATATAAAGGAATTTTTCATTACATATCAATGTGAATTTCATGCAAATAGTCACACACTCATGTCACTAACAGCAAATTTTGATTTACTTCTTTGTTAAGAAGTGAACTGTAATATGGATGTTTTATTTATTTCAAGTAAGATACCATATTCTTTTGCAAGAGCATTTATAGCTGAAGATGTAATTATTAAAAAAAAATGCTTTCATATGTTAAGATGAGAAAAAAAAATTCATGAGTATTTACAGTCACCTGCATTTAAAAGCATTGCTAAGTTATGTGCTTTGTTTTATATGTTTCTAAAAAGAACTGTACGTTTCTCCTCCCTCTTCTGCTGACCTTAAACTTCCACTTCTAGACATTTTACTGTGGTTTCAGGCTTGGCTTTGGCCTCTTCTACCTTTTTTTCATTATTCTTTGTTTCCTTCTCCAATGTTTTGTCATTTGATGCAGTCTCTTTGAGAGTCGTAGTTTCAACCATTTTTTTCTGATTCTTATTTGAAAATGGGAAGGATTTCTTGTACCTTTAAATAAAAAGAAAGGATTTAAAGCGGAAACACTGACATTAGTTTAGTATTTTATTTTATTTATTGAGAGGTACTACCAAATATCTAGCATTTACTTTCTCTGCTATATTCAAGGCAGAAGTGCCACAGAGAATAGCAGCAAGTGGGCTCACTGTACTTTTAAAAGCAGTGTGCCTTTTAAAGAAATATTTTCTGCTTTGTGTTTGCTTTATACAAACCGTGTACGTTCAGGATTTGTGGTACATAATGATAATGCAAGCTGGGCAAGAATGTTAAAAATGGGCACAACTTTTTGATCTCTAATGATCCTCTGTGTTGAAGATCTGTTTAAATGGCTCAAAGGGGGTAAACAAGTATTTTTTTTCTGAAGGATAAGTGTTATTCTCTCGAGTCTGACATTGAAAGAAACAATAGAAAGCTGCATAAATAGGCTTTTATATATACAGTTGCATGGTTAAATATTGCTGTCGTGGCAGACAGCAACACTCCACACTAGGTGTGACTGATCAATCAAAAATAGGTAATATTGGTCTGATTGCTTTTCTAAAAGGGCGTAGCGACAATAGCAACAAAAATTAACTGCAGAACAGCAGAGCTGAAGATTTAATTCTTTGTTTTACAGTTACATCATTATCATTACAGCCCGCTTTAGCTGTATTTATGAAATATTCACTGCCTGTACTCTAGGAGTTAACTCACTCTAAGGGAAAAGATAGAAAAACCTTACTTTTTGATGTAGCAGACTGCTAGAAGAACTGAAATAATGAAGAAGATGACTGCCAGCACAAGGAGTGCAGTGGGGATACCTAGAGATAAAAGGGAGGTAGGCATAAAGGTGTTATATATCTTTATACTGGACTTTCTAAAGGCTTATGAACATAAGTCCATATTCTTCTAAAACCAGCCTAGTGTAAAAGGTATGTATGGACACATAGACTCATAGAAGAATAAAAGTAAGCAATCTCAAAACCTTGGTTACTCCTGCTCCTTGTTTTGAGACGCTAAAAGCACGTAGGCACTCCTTGACAGACATTTGTCGTACTTGTCTAATCTGCTCATCAGAGATTTTTTTAAACAACCTACTGAGAAAATATGTTTTTGTAATTAACTGTCCTTCCATTTAATGTGTTTTCCCATATATTTAGTCTATTTTCCAGTTTCTGTTTGTTAGGATTAGTTTTTCACACCTTGTATCTGGAAAACAAATCACTGTTCTACTTAGAACTTTCTTGGCTTCTTTTATTTTTCAGATCTGGCTGTTTTCAATTATTCAGAGCACATGGTGCTATGCTAGGACTTTCTCAGAAATGTATTCACCCCAAATCACATTAACCACAATGAATTTCCACCATTTCATACATAAATATTACCAAAAAGAATAAAATATTAAGATCTTATACTTAAAAATTATGCTAAAAAAACCCCTTTTTTATAAGCTTTGTGACATTTTATTCTGCTTCAAGGTTCAGCTATATAAAAAAGAATGCTGGAGTAGCAAATAAAACCAGCGGTAAGCAGTTCTACTGCTAACATCTATCTCACTAACGAGCTATTCTAGTTAAGGAGCACTGCCCTTACCTCCAAAGACAACACCATCATTCCTAAATGCAGCAGGGTAAGTGTGGTATTCCTCTGGCATTGTTGTAGTAGTCCCCTCTGTTGGTAATATAGTTTCAGTTATACATATTATCCGAAATCTCACGTTTTTCAGGGTTTGTTCTGGTTCAGTTGCAGTGGGCACTGCTGTGGTGTTCCCAGTCAAATCTGAACCTGAATACGCAGTTAATTCTGTTGGTACACTTGATGGTAGTATGGTTGTAGTTGGGTCTGGTTTACATGAATTAATTTGAACATCTATAGTAGGGAAAGGAAATACATAAGATTACAAACATTTAGAGAAATTGTTGTCCAGCCATTTCCTTCTGGAGATCATTTGCTTGGTCAGAAAAGCATTATCTAAATCTGGCAAGCTTTTTTCAAACAAGTGGCTAAAACCAGTCGTGTACACTTTGAACCATTACTTATATAGTTGAACACTTTCAGTGGTATGCATTTTATAATTGCATAGCACTGATGATTCCTTCTGAAGAGTACTTATAGTAATAATCCATATTAAAAATAAATAAATAACCTGGCCTCCTGCAGAAAGCAATCTTAACTAGAGATCCAAGCTTCAAAAGCATTTCCATTATATAATGGGAAAATAAATGCTATTATTTATATTTTCAAAGCATACACATGCACTGTTGACACTTTTGACAGTATTGATTTCCTAGGAGGAAAAGTATCCCATAAAACTTTCAGGTAAATCAGGCACCAGAGCAAAATGAACAATGAGACAGTTCTGCTGGTGCCTACAAAGAAACAAACACCAGGCACATTCTGAGATTAAGTCATTTAAATGATGTGAATATTGTCTGTATAAAAATGTGGGTGCAAGTGGACTTCTATATGTAAATGCAAAATCTGACTACTGAACTGGCTTGTGTGAAAATATGAAAATTCACCTTTTTTTGTGAAGATCCACATTTTGAAAAGCTGTAAAGATTTTGCTAAACAAGCAGATTACAACATAAATAACGGGAAATGACGTATGTACTGTGCTCCAAATGAATCCCCTGGGAAGTCTGGTGACGCAGTTACATTCACAGAATAAAAAGCTGAGTAACAGAGGCTTTTTAGTCTTTCTCCACAACAGTTTCCAAATGATTTTTGGTGTTACAACTACAAATGTTTTAGCTAAGAAATGTCTAGAACAGGTGGCATTTTGGCTATTAAGATGCAGAAACGCAGAATCATCACAGTGTTAATTTTTTTATTATTATCATTTTCTAGCCACTCAATCAATTTTCTTTTTGGAATTATTTGCTACCTCCTTAATGTTACCTGCCTATCCAAGATTTCTGATGCAAAATGACACGTATTTCACTCGCTTCCACTCTCTAGGTTGTAGATAAAAACATTAAAGAACAGCAGTCTCAAGACAGACAGGGGATGCCACAGGAAATAGGCACAGTCTGTCTTCTTATCATTGTATGGGCATATATTGGAAAACCATCTTTCTCCTGGTCTTTCCCAACCCTTGTTGACACATCTTTTTTCAGAATTTTGTATTGTTACCTAAAACTCACTGGCAAGGTCAAGGCACTGATTAGAAATAATTTCACCATATACATGATCAGTGATTTGCTGGGATGGTTACATAATAATCACGAGTATGGAACACTAGCAAGAACACAAAACCTCCAGTTAAATACTTATTTTCAGTAGATAAGGTAGAAGTAATTAAGAAACAATACCAATCTGTTCTGAATTAAGATCTAATTTACATCAAGACCTAAGTTCTACTTCTGTATCTTTGATCTAGGAACAGATAGTCAAGGAGCAGAGGAAGGACAGATCTTTTCTCAAACAAAACGATTCAGATTATGTCCTACTAAAGAAGCTGTTTCCTTTTACTGAGAACAGACTAGAAATTGTGTTGATTTTACGGTCTCTTAAATGACCCTCCATTTAATTTAATGGATACATTTCCTTTTTTTCAAAAAAAGAATCAGCCTTTCCTTAAGAAACCCTCTCTTGGTCATTGCCAAAAAATACGTATGTTTACACAGGCAGCCTTGTTGCAGATTGTTTACCTACCATCTTTCAAATCACCATACCTAATCTCCTAGACAGTTAAAACCCACTAAATATATTGTGTTGACATGGCAAAAGCATCTTTTCCAATAAGATCTTCCATAGCAACACCAACTTACTATTTTGCAATGGAATGGAATTTCTGTATTGCTTGGAAACGTGGGTTTTTTGTTTGTTTGTTTCTCTTTTTCTTTTTTTAACCTTGCAGAGCTAAATAAAGCTTAACAATATTTAAGATCGGGTGAAAGAGTCATCAAATGATAAGAACTTACATATTCGTTACGATATTTTGTATGCAAATATTTTAAAAAGAATTCAAACCCAAACACAAGAAATGTAGTTGTTACATTTACATACCTGAAGAATTGAAGCAGTAAACTGCAAATTTAGAAGCTTGATTAGCACGCCAGTTCACTAGTCCAACGCTGCCCCGACCACATTTCTTATTGGATGTTATACGAGGAATGGCAACCAATCCATCTTTTATCCACCCAGAACTACAATAAAAGCATAAGTCTTTTTAACAGTAGATTTCTACACAGCTTCACGTTAGGTAAAAGGGTTTATTGAAAATAAAGAAAAACTAATGGATGTTGTATACCTGCATGTTTCAAAGCCATTTTTCAAAGCCTTCTCAACCTGTTCTTTACTTGCCAGTTGTAGATTCAGTCGACTGCACACATTACTTGCTTCTGAAAAATTCACTTTCTCGTCAAGATACAGTCCTACACCTGTGATCCTGCAAGGTGAAAGCGTGGAACCTGTAATTTAGACATAGATATTCTAAGTTAATTTTATATATTAATGCTAACAATTATCCTCCATGTAAAATTTAAGATCATGCTTAAGATCACATTCAGACAAATTGCCTATTCTTCAAAGTTTCTAACTTGAGGGTGGCAAAAAAGTGATTTCTATAAAAATAACTACTTTGCAATAAAGTATTGTCTCAACATAATAGTCTAGAATTTCAAAAGTTTCGACAGTCATTAAATTAAATGTAAACACAGCTGGCATTTGAGTTGTTACCAGATCAGATTCTGTTCTTTTTTCTTTTTTAAAAAAATGAAAAAGATAAAAGTAAAGTTGCACCAAAGCAGTGGGCTGGATTCTGTCAGAGCACTCTTATTAACAGAGAGATTTTAAAATAGTTTCTCAGTTCTTTTAAACTTATCTTTCTTTCCTATGAGAGCTGCTCTGAAGGAAACACCTCATTTTACTACGTTGCCCACAACATCAGAGACAGATGTTGGTGGTATGGAAGTAGAAGCTGAACCTTCACACCAGTGTTCTGTTACATGTTGTTGCAGTGTGACAGATGGCAGCAGAGGGGCAGCCTGACAAAATGGAGTTCAACATGGAAGTGTGGATGAAGCAATGGTGTGTCACCAAATTCTGCCAAGAGGAAAAAAATGCACCCACTGACATTCATCAGTGCTTGCTGAATGTTAATGGTGGACAAACATGCATATGAGCACAGTGATGTGATGGGCAGTGCATTTCAGCAGTGACAATAGCAAGTCACTGCCACTGGTGCAGATTTTTATGAGCATGACATGCATGCTCTCATTCATCACTGGTGAAAATGCACAACTATCAGTGGTGACTATGTTGAAAAAGGGTGTTTAGAAGCTGAGAATTTTCTCTATCAAATAGTGTTACTGTGCTCTTTGTGTGTGTTGTAGTTTCCATGGAAATAAATGGGAGGCATTACTTTCAGTGCAACCTATATTGTTTGGCATGATTTTATTTTATTTTTTTCTTCCATGTACGGTCAACTACTGAATTTGCTGAGTATGAGACAGGAAGCAGATGGTAGGAAGAGAGAAGATAGATGGATTTATGATACTTTTCCCAAACTCGTCAACAATAGGCAGTTTATCCAGCATTTTCAGGATTCTACATCTGGCACATTATCCATGGCAACTACCTCGGGGAAGACAGAGTTTAGGTGAGATTATGCCTGCTGTACTCCTTTAGCCTGAGTTAAGGATGTAGGACAGAACTCAGGATTTTACAGAGAACGGGCAAAGATGTACTCTTTGTTCAGATATTTCCCAGAAGCATATGCCAGAAAAAAAATATTTTTCCTTTTTTTTTTTTTTTTTGAGTTGCATACAGTAATTGCCATATTAAATGAAAAGGAATAGCCTGTAAGAAGTAATTTCAAAATAGCTACACATTTCCTAGGAAGATAATTCCCATACCTTGTCAAAATAAAATCAACAGAAAACACAACAAAATGCAACTAGATTAACTGGGTACTCTGGACACACTTGGTTTTTTTCTTGGTATTTGTTTAAGCTTGCAACCATTTCAGGATTTCATTGCAAACAGTCCAGATAACCAGCTCCCACAGCTATTACTTCCTTGCTGGACATTCTGTACAGGCTCTGTATGTCCACCAGCTATGTATACTAGTGACAACACCAACTGATCCATCGTTATCATTTCTTAGCAACAGAGGTTCAATTGAATTTTTTGAATGGAATGATAGAACTAGCACCATGAGAAGAGGTTAAGAAGATGTCTAAGCTCGTGTGGAAGGCATAAACGAAGGCAGACTTTCCACTCTTGCTTCCATTGAATGGGGTGCAGTTGGAAATATCTTCTGGTAAAAGATGCATCTCTTCTGGTTTTATGTTTAGTTTAATGGGATTTAAATGTTGCACAGAGCAATCATTGAACTTGATGGATTTATCTCAGCGTCTGCAGAGTTGTGGCCTCCCATAAGCACTTCCTGGTATAGCACAGACCCAATCAGACAGATGGTGAATGAATGAGCTCTTAAGCATCCCCATAGCCAAATCATAGCTACGTCCAATCCTGGCCAAATACACTGTGTGAGAATTCAGAGCTCTAAGACCCAAAAATACACTGTTGCTCAGTGAAGAGGTGTGTGTCAGGTATCAAGAACCTCAAATCCGTTCAAGGAATCCCAGCAAGGGATCATGGCATCAAATTTCTTCAGTTACTGTCAAATATCTTCCTGTCCAGTCAGTGTGTGTTCATGAATGACCCCTTGTATGTCTTCATCTTGGTCAAGCTTCTTGGTATCAGGCAGGTGCTCCAGCATTGTTTTCTAGATTCCTTTTTGCTAGCAAGGAGCTCTCCATCTTCTTGAGAACTTTTACATTTCCCCTCTTTCTCAGCTACTGATGCACATCCCATTTTCAAGCTCCCATTCCTTCTCTATTATTTATTCCTAATTCTCTTCTCCCCTTACTTGCTCAGATGTCACTCATACTGTTAGTGCTTCATTAAACAACTATTTCCCTTAGGAAGCTGTCTAGATAGTTGTAAACTGCTATAGTCTTCAGTCATTCAATTACAAGATTATAAAATGAGAATTGCTTAATAGATATAAACAACAATAAATGTATTAATTCAGTACGAGAAAGCTGAGTCATAAGCATTAACACAAGTGATTGTAAGACATGGGCCGAAGTTTTACCTTGGAATTTGCTAAGGATTTAAAAACAAAATAGAAAAGTAAAAGGAATGTTTTGGAAAAAATTATTGGTTCCAATTTGGATTTAGATTTAGATCTTGGTTGGTTTTACAGCATGAAAATGAAATCCAGAAAGAGAAAAGTAAGCTTTTCAAGACTTTTCATCACTTCTTAGAATCACCTCTGACTTCTGCATTAAAGAAAACTCAGTTTGTACAGGAGACAGACTAATCCTTTAAAAGCATTGTGTTTACAAGTTGCCCATAGCTATCATTTTTGTTTGGTCTATTTAGTTAATCTGCTAGTAACTGAACATTTCCCTTTGAGTCTTTTATAAGAAATCCATTTTACTGAGAGAGGTGGGAAAGACTAGACAGAAAAATCTCACAAGAGGACAAACTTGTCACAGGACAGGAAGAATGTGTGTAGAGTGTGAGCTTATTCTGCATTAATTCTCTTCTTACTTTTTGAAGAAGCTGTTTCTCTCTCTTTGCCTTCCCCCAAGCCCTCACTCTGATTTGTTAAAAAGAGTTTACTTGGGTTGCTGACATCAGGGAGCAGCAAGAGTGAAGCTGCTCCACATTAAAAGCTGAGCAGGGAGCAGAGGGTGACTGCAGCACAGGCATGACAGTGCCTCACAACTAGGGCACAGTCCCACAGCACCCAAGCAGGGTCACACTGTGACAGGTCTTTGGCATCCTCTTTGCAGTGGTAGAGAGCAAGACAATGTATGAGACACAGGAATAATGAAGAAAATGCATTTGGGAACAGAAAGAGAAATATGCTACCTATAACACATGCTTGAAGTCCACTCTGGACAGAAGGCCAGCTACAATGCATGATCCATCAGTGAAGCCCAGCCAGTAAGTCAGTAGAGGAGTGGGCAGGTCTGGGCACAAGCATGCTACATACAACACAATTCCAAGGCACATAGGAATCAGCCATGAGCTTAACTTGACTTCTTGGGCTAATGAGCAGAGAGTACATGAGCAATTACCCTAAGTAAAGCTTAGAGGGGAACTAAAGGGGTCCTAACATCCCTAACTAAGGCATAGTCTTAAGACTCAAGGTATTTCCCCAGCAAAAAATATATTCAATAGTTGGTATCTGTAGAAGAGTTTACTGTTGTTAATCGTGGAATTTCAACAGGACTTGAGCTGAGCATCTGATTCACCCAAGTCCAGGTTTCCTTCAGAGGCCTTTCAGTAGATAAGAAAATCAATTCTCTGCGACAGTGGTGTAATGTTCCTTTACAAAGGCAGAGAAAGTATTTACTCCTTGCAAACTGTAGTGAAGCATCTGGAAACATTTTCTATCTTCAGAAAGTCTAGTGTAGGAGGCCTCCAAGTTTCACTAACTCACAGAAGAAAGGGGTATTATATGACTGATTCTAAAAGCAGGGACATATAATAACATCTGAGGGAAAGGGGTTATCTAAACACTGTAGGACACAGCTGAAGTTGGCAATTCCCTACGCTAATTTTTCAAACAGATAGTTTATATAAAATAGGAAATTTGTGTTATATTAAGCAGAGACAAGTGTTTCTGTCCTGGAGATGAGCCACGAGATCCCTGTGCAAGTTTCCTTCAATTTTCCAAACAAAGGAAGTATCAAGATATTGTCAAATCAGTGCAAATAACTGTGTTAATGATAGCACTTTATCACAGAAACTAAGAACTGATTTCATATGGATTTTGCTCTCTGAGGATTGCACAAAACTATTTGCTATGCTATGTTAAATGGTCTATTAAAAACAACAAAGTCACATTTCAATAATTCTAAACTTAATTCTAAATGGATTATCATAATTTTGGAACAAGCAATTCTGTAACATTTATATATCACTTGGTCTTATCAAATAATTAGACTAACAATGAAAGACTCTCCTTCTGCTATTTTTCATTGCACTATCCTATGAAGAGCCTGTTGTTTCCTATGCTAGCAAACCTGTTTACACATATCCTCTTTCTCCCATTTTGCCTGCAAATCTATTTTTTCCAAGTACTTTTCTGTTCAACTATGATGTTTTAAAAAGTGGGACTTCACATACCTGTTATACAGTAATTTTGAGCCATGAATGTCATAATCCAGACTGATAACACCGCTGAGGTAACTCCAAAAAAAGTTGTCATTGTCACAAACTCAGAAAATTGAGAAATTTGAGGTGATTTGTCTTCTGAGCTGAGAAGAATTAAGATACTGGAGCACGTCTGAGATAGCCTTTCAGATGACTTTTTGAAAGAAACTTCAGCTGTCACTGCACTGCTTCGTAGAAACCTCAGATGTGTTGTCTGTCCCACTCAAAGGCGAGGTCACTGACTGGAAATCCGTAATCACCCTTTACACTTTCTTTCATGTAGGGCTTGCTGGAAAATTTAACTACTGCTGACTCAAAAAACACAGCTGAGGAAGGGAGATAAGACTGTTAAACTGCTAAGTCAGTAAACACTCTGAAATTAGTTTTTCTTTTGCTGTTTTTTCCTGTTTTACTGATTAACAACACATTAATCATATTGTCTGTTCATCTGGTAAATAAAAATAATTGGCTATTAAATCACAGCAAGGCAGGCAATCATACAGAGGAACAAAATTGGAGTTTTTATTTTGGAATTAGAAGGGCATCCGTTCCCCACTGTTTTATTTGCCTTGATGCAGCGTATTTACCTTCATCATTTGCCTTTCAGTTCCAGTGCAAAAATAAGTACCATAATAGGTAATTTGATACTTGCTTTTGGACAGATTTGGAGATAAGCAGGATTTCTTGTGAGACTACATATGGACAGTGATGGGAGCCAACCTATTCACTGCTGCCTTTTGTGAGCTTTGAGTAAACTAATACCAACAGACTGATTCAAATCACAGATAATCCTGGCAGCAGTAACTTCAAAAACCTTCAGGAAGTCTTAGCAGAAGGCATAGGTCCCACCTCTTACAGCAGCACATACCATGGTTATGTAGATACTACAACATAGACATCTACAGGGCTAAGTTGCAGATGGTTGCTGTGGCTAACGAAATTATGCCTCCAATACTAACAAACAAATGAAAATCTGGTTGTGTTTCAGCCATGGTTTAGAACTGAATGTGGGTAAATCTCTTGGAGATCTTAAGACAAAGTTCTATTTATGTCTTTGTCTTACAATACTTACATGCATCTACACAGTGATGGCAATCTCCAGTACTGCGATCAGACTTTCAACTGAAGCTCTAAGAGGATTCACTTGCATTCATGATGTGGGAGAAACTACCAGTTATTCTGCTGCTTTCATGGATTAGTGGTCTGCGACTGTAAAATAATATTAAACAAAACCAACTCAATAGCCTTGAACTGCTAAATATATTCTGCCGTGAAAACTGATTTCCAAAGTTGGATTCTGAAGAGAGGTATTTTAAAACTGCATGCTGATTTCTTTTCAAAAACCGTTTGGATGTGGTGCTCAGGGACATGATTTAGCTGCAGGTTGTTAGAGGTAGGGTAGTGTGGTTAGGTTGTGGTTGGACTTGATGACCTTCAAGGTCTTTTCCAACCTGAGTGATTCTATGATTCTAAGTTTACTACCTTGTGCCAATTGTTCTCACTGTAGCAAAGTTCCTTTAGTCAAACTCTGTCCATGTTATTGATGTTTAATTGGATTCTTAGCTGAAAAAAAATGACAAAAACAACTTGGTTAAACTAAACAAAAATATAAGGTCCTTCAACACGGCTTTTAAGAGCAATATACAGGTGATGAGATGAAGAAAAAAATAGAATGATAAAATGAGACTGAATTTTTTTTCATCAGTTTCTTTCTTTTAACATTTTAGCTGTTCCAAAATTGTGAGGAAGACCATTTATCTGGACTGTATCATTAGAAAAGGTTTGTAAGTTGTTTATGGGTCTTCACCTTAACTTGTGTGCAAAGAAGAGCCCAGCTTCTTGCTGAATATTTTAAATTAGCATTTGAAAAAATATGGTAAGCTATAAGGAACATCCCATCATCTCATGCCAACATGTTTAGAAATGTTTCAAAAGATGATGAAGATCACTAGACAGAAATCTTTTGGTCTGAGGAGAACGGACTTAAATATTCTCTGAAATCATTTCTAAAGGATACCTGAAGCCTGAAAAACAGGAACAGAAACAAATTAAGAGTAAAAAGATGTATACGTGGAAATACAAATATCTGGGTCTCTTTACTTGTAGCAACTATTTCTTTCAAGATTATCTTTGTCCCAGATTTTATCTCCCTGAAGCAGACCATCAGAAATTCAGCAGTGAAATTTGTGCTCTTTGTGGAAATTGAGCACTGTCTCCTTTGCACTGGTCTGGCAGGTCAGCTCTCCACAAAGCCCTTGCTTCCCGGACCTTCCAAGACAAAAAGAACACAACTCAGATAAAGAATCCTAACCTTTCACTTAGTCTCCTATGGTTGCAGTCTTCTTTCTCCTCAAAGACAAGCAGCCACTCTTTGAAGCAGGAGTTAAACTCTCACCGGGATATTTCAACATCCTCTCTCATTTTTAGGATATGACGAGGTTGACCCTGCTTACAAACCTCTTCTCTATTGACATGGGAGTTTGCTTGCTCTTCAACATCATTTTTCTGAATAAATGAAACACTAAGAACAAGATCCTTGGTATGGATAACATGACACTACATTACACAGTGTAGAAAAGGCAACGGCATTTCAGAAGAACATTTTCATTAATATGCAGACAGAGTGCATGTGAAAAATAAATCTTTAAGGTAGCAACAGTGAGGACTTTGAAACTGTTCTTTTATTTCAAAACTCAAGTATGTGATACTATACAGTACAATACCAGCAGACTGGTGCAAAATCTTACAATGTTACAGAATTAAATATGATACAAAAAAATAGTGCCCTTTTAAAATTCCTTTTACTAGAAACATCTGTGCTGTGCAGGAAAACAATAGACGTGTCTTGCTTAAGCAAAAAATAAATATTGCACCTCAAGAAATCTATTTCAGTGTTAATGGCATAAATAGTAGATCTATTTCTCATTATCTGTTGTGATCTCTGAACTCAGAAGAGATTTTGTGTGTTTGTGTTTTAGTTTCTGTTTCTTTAAACAGATAAAAAAAACCTAATATCCAATGGAAATAAACTACATTTAGAATAGGTTTTCTCCACAACCTAGTTTTCTATCCAAAAAGATGTCTTCACTAATTAACTGAAAAATGCAAGCAAAAATATTTAATGTGCTGTTAGTCACTGTGGTCCATTACTTTTACTGGACAGTTTTCTCACAGTAGGTGTATAAATTAAAACTATTTATTTTTTCATCAACTTTATCCTCATCTTTTAATCCTTTTAGAAATCCCTCACTTCTCTCAATCCACTCCCCATAATAAATAATACCTTTGTGGTTAAATTATACTCGCCTTAAACACTGCAAGTAACTCAGCTCCAATTAATACAACTACTTATGAAATTTTGCCTTGTGGACCAAGTTCATGAAAATCCATTGTGCTGAATTCCAAAAGAGGATGAAGACCCTGTCCACGCTCTGGCCAACAAAAACTCAGCACATGCTCAATATTAAGCAGTTGAAGAGTCCTACTGACATCAATAACCTTCTACAAGAACTAACATAAGGTGTTGGTTCAACATCAGTGCAAAGGTGAATAAGAACAAATTAATTCAATTACAGACATTGTTATCTATTTTTCCTCAGTACGCTCCAAAATGTCTGTAGTCACATAAAGTATGTATCACAATTTTTGGCATAGTGGATTCTGAATCTTCAGGACTATTTGCCTTTTATTGCCTTATTATGTCAGCAACATTATTTCTAAACAGTTTTAAGATGAAGAAGCTGGTTCTAATAAATGAATATTGTATTACTATCTGTAAGTTTCTTTAAATAGTAGAAGTATGGGAAATGGCACAGTAATTCTTCACTGTTGGGTATTCTAACTGAATCAAATATATAGCAAACAATTAGCAAGAAACTCTCTTCTGTCTTGTTTAGCAATTACAATTTTAGACCAAATTACACTTTCCCATTATCCTTTTTGAACTTCCTTAAACACTCTATATTCATCCAAAAAAACAAGCAGTATATAGATAATAAAAACCTCCAAACTGCTTATATATGTTTTTTTTTTCCCAAAGCTAGCACTGATCTACTATTTTTCTTTTTTTTTTTTTTTCTCCTCCACTCCTCCATGTAATTTTCTTGTAAGAAAGATTTAGCTAAAGATGCAACAAACAAAATTCACCAGTAGGATATTTGTTATTAGCAATAAACATGCAAACTAAATTTCTGAGTGTTAGAAATCTGTTCTCTTTGATCGATTGAGCTTCAGACTTTACACCTAAAGAAGACGAGCTCATGATCCCAGATCTTATGGGATGATACCAAAAGTGCCACCTACACCTCTTTTTAGGTTTTGTTATATATCCCATTCGAAAAATAGAGATGGTCCTAGTTTTACAGTATATCATAAAACACGTGTATGAATGTACTTGCATACTGATAATTTCCTTCATGAAATTAAGGCATCCACAAGACATCTTGTCCGACAAAATAATTTTAACCTTCCACTGGCCTTATACCTTTCTACCCAAAAATCATGAACAAAAAAAAAAAGAAAAAAAATTACATTTTTAAAACTCAAAGGACGCAAATGTCATTAATACGTCAACAACAACAACAACAAAACAATGAATTCAGGAAATGCAAAGTGAAACACTAACTGCAAATATGGTTTTAATCATAGCCTTCAAAATCAAAGGAAAGGTGTCAACATCTTGTGCAAATCTTTCTTTTAATTGCCTGCTGGTTGCTGATTAGTGCCAAAACCTTATCATGATTCAATATTATTTGAATCAGTCATTTAAATTAAGAGGATAAAAATAATTATTTCCCAGGTTATTATTTTGGCAAGCTATGTTCACAATGTATCACCAGGATTGATGGGTGGAGTAACTCACTCGTGTAACAGACGTAACAGATGACAACTGTACAGGTGACTAAGCACTACCCTTAACAATAGTGTTCTAATACTGTGCTCTCTCAGGTACCATAAATACATGGTGTTGCTTTGTTATTCAGTGCGTTGCTCATGTTGAAATCCTGAGTTCCACCAGGAATATTGATGGGCAGCAGAACAGCTGGCTTTTCCTTCAGGTCTCTCTGATACTTCATCACAGGAGCTGTATGAATGGTAGATTCCCAACACCACGGCAAAAATGATTATTGCAGCCACTACAAGCCATATCACATTCCAGTGTTTACAGAGTTTGGGGTACAATATATATAAATAATTAATGATGACTTCAAGTCTGCTGTAAAATGAAAAGAATACCGTTATACGTTAATAATATGCAAATCAATTACCTTGAGCTTGTAAATTCGAGGAGTTTCGTATCTGCATCATGCATTACTTCTCTTACAAAGAAAAACGCATAGTCAGGAAAGAATCACACATTTGCTCTTTCAAGAGCTGCTATATATTCAAATATAGGTGATATTTGCAAGACGATTGTATGCAGTTACCAAGCAATTGCCTTGGCTTCTCTTTCTCCTACCTGTCAACTGGCAAATGTCAGAGCTTGACACGATTTAAAATTCTGCCTTGTTTAGCTTAACTGAGCAAGCTATGAACGTCATAATTCGTCTTAAACATTTCCTCATGAGTTTCATGACTAATGAGATGACCATCCTGAACATGGCTGGAATTTCAAATTAATAGACATTTATAGTCATAGTAATCTTGGAAACAGTCCTTTGGGATCAGGTAAAGATGCCTAACATCTTGGGATTGGATATTTTATTTGCTTTGGTCACTATTGAATTCCTCTGTAATGCACAAATCTTTTTTAATTTTGGAATGCAGGAAATTGAAGTTCTGTCAAACAAGGTTGATAGAACTCAATCAACTCCAAAATTTAAAAAAAAAAAAAAAGCTGAAAGCATAGAAAAGTTTTTCAGTTAAGCACAAATGTTTCAGGTATGATAAAGCAGAGTATACAAAATCCATGCTGTATTCAAAGAGCATTCAATGAATGTAATAAATGCGTCCCTCTGCTGAAAGCTGGGATAGCTTTCCATCATAGTGCTGTTCTGCAATGTTTATAGAGTTTCTAGAGAGAGCAAGCATGTGCCCCTCCAAGTCATAGGGAGCCCAGCATTGTTGAAGAGTTCATGTTAACCTGCATTTCCCTTGTGAATGCACATTCTGAACACACTCTAGTGTGGACAGACTGGTGAAGACTTTTTGGAAACGATGCACGCACAAATAAAGGCATCAGATTCCTGAATTACAACTTTCTTCTGATAATATGTGCTACAGAGAGATTCATTTATCACCAAAAGAACACTTGTGGAATACTTTTACTTCAAAACCTGTCCCCATCAAGATCAGACATTTTGATGTGCAAAAAACCATAAAATTTTAACCAACATATTAAAAATAAAAATTTTGCATTTTGCAATTGTACTTATGTGGAATAAATCATTCTGTGAAACAAGTTAGTTCAAATATCCTGGCCTAGACTGGAAGAAAACATACTAATAGCATAAAGCACACTTGATTGGTACCATGAATATAGTGTCTCCTACCATATGATCACATTATACACCAGTGTCTTACCTGCTTTTCAGGCTTTTTATCTCACTGTCATTTTCACTTTCTTCATGTTCATCATGACTTTCTTTTGGTGTCTCTTCATCTTCTTCCTTCAGATCCTGAAGTTCTTTGGTTTTCTTCAAGCCCTCCTGATAGCTTTAACACAAATAATTTTTCTTAGTCTGTAAGCACATTCCTATGTAATGAGAAACTGGCTTTATATTTTGCTACATGGAATAAAACAAAAATAACTCTGTTTCTGCAGAACTGGAACAGGACAAAAGATTAGCTATGCATATACCACATAGCCATCCTTACCTAATAGAGTATTATATTAGCTCTGTTAGCAAATTTATCTTGGAAAAGGAAAAAACAATTATAATCCTCTGCAGAGTAAAACTTCTGTTTATTGTAAAGAAGTTGCTGTGTATTTCTGATTATTGTTTTTCTTAATCATTTTGGGGGCCATAGTGGTGAGGCCAGCCCTTTTCAGTGGTGAATGGAGACAGGACAAGGGGAAACGGCTGGAAACTGCAGCACAGGAAGTTCCGCACAAATGTGCACAAGAACTTCTTTACAGTGAGGTGACGGAGCACTGGAACAGGCTGCCCAGGGAGGTGGTGGAGTCTCCTTCTCTGGAGATGTTCAAGACCTGCCTGGATGCCGACCTGTGCGACCTGCTGTAGGGAACCTGCTTTGGCAGGGGGTTGGACTCAATGATCTCTGGAGGTCCCTTCCAACCCCTACAATTCTGTGATTCTGTGAACACTTGCTAGATACTCTAATTTGGAAAACAGATGCAAATTCTGGAAAATAGACACAAATCTAGACTGAAGGTGTATGACCTGTTGGAGTCGGATCACAAGCAAAATTTAATGTCATGTTAATCAGTTCCATGAAACCTTTCAGAATATGAATTTTAGAAGGTTGTTCTGGAATGTCCCATCATGAAGGTGAATGCTATCAACATATGAACATCCATCCAACTCAGAATCTCTGAAAACAACTGGTTCTCTCAGACAGGCTAACATAAATAAAAGATGAAAGCAAGCAATCACAATGAAGACAAAAGTCATGTTAACTCACATCGTTTCCCATATTGCTTCAGTTGGGACAGTCTTCTTGAAGTCCTATCAATGGCATCACTCATTTTGCATTTAGAATTACACTACAAAAATACATCTCGTGACACATATTTACAATCTAATTCTCATTAAATATTCCCACCCTTTGTTATATGCTTCCTCTTCTATCTTGGCTTTAGTTTCAGGATTGATCTCTTCCAGCCCACTCTGTGTCACTGCAGAAGTAGAGGTTTCACAGTCAGGCTCTCCATTTGTCTTTCCACTGCCAAGACAAAAGAGAAAATGAAAGCAAAACCAAGACTGCTGAAATCTTTATATTTGGAGTATACCACTGAGTAAGAAAACAATCAGTATGTGTGACTCCTGATCCATTAATGATTATTACAAACCTATCTTTAAAGGAAAATCTGCAATTTTTCACTTAAATGTATGTTGGAGAAATGTTTTGCAAAAGAAGTACATACTTGGCAAAATTTTAGTTTCAAAAAGTAACTTAAAAATAGTAATTACAATGTTTATTTCCTTATTTAAATAAAAATCGTATTTGTTTCATGGCCTGCCTATGGCATTCATTTTTCCTTTTTTTAAAAAAAAAATTCCTCTTTTGGCTTTCTAAAAATTGTCTTAGAAGTTTTCTCTGCTACATCAGAGGAAAAAATAGAAATAATTCCAAATATTAATTTTATAATGTATTCTTCTTATATGCCTCTTAGGTACTTTACTGACTTCATAGTAAACTGAAATTCATACTCACCTTACACACAAGTAAAAAAAAATGTATAAACACATACATACCTTCTGTCAATAAATTTTTTCCTAATTAAGAACTGTGTTTAGCCTAAAGATAGGCTATTGAATATTGCTCTTTTTCTGCAGTGCTCATCTGCCCTCATTTCTTTATGTCTGGGTCAAAAAGTTTATGTGATCCAGATAGGAGTGAGCAAATTTAGCAAAGATGAGGTTTAATATGCTCAGCAGCAGATCCCATTCCAATTCCTGGAATCTAACTATCTGACTATCTAAATTAATGTTGATTGATGTCATCTGAGAGCAACGGATTTTCATATTATCATTTTCAATTCTTCATATTGACACAATCCTTATTTTCATTTGGGCTTAAAGCTTCTTTATTTAAGAACTTCTGTACAGTTTCAAAAGATGGTCCAAATCTTGCAGAGTTCTGTTGAATTGAGACAACTAGTGGCAATGCTTATTGCCATAGTTCACAGCTTTGTTTTCCTAATTATTGCAGAGTTTCAGTCTTAAGTACAGAGATAAAGGCAAATATGTAAGATAAAGTCTGTCCCATTTCTGCACTAATCAAAAATATGTGAAAGCAATCATTCTGTTATGACTTGTGCTATAAATAGTGATATAAATAGTTTCAAACTTGTATTCTATATGAAACTTAACACATTCTCTCCAACTTTAATTCAAATAAGCATTTAAGATATTTTACTGTGATACTGTGAATAGTTTAAACCAAAGTAGTAACAATTATTATTATTATAACAAATCGACGTTTTGTAAGTTTTACTTCTGAAATACCTGCAAGCAGCTTCTTTATAATATGTAACATTTCTTGAAAGAAACAAATATTTGAAAATGAGCCTTTTTTAATTTGTGCTCTCTATGATGATGATGGATACGAACATATCATACTGTGTATGTGTATATACACGTATCTCGATATATAAGCACGAATCTATGAGTACACGTGTTCCCAAATGCAATGAGAGCTGTGCTTGTAATGGTAAAAGTTTACAAATACTTTGTACAGTGGATTTCATGTGCCTTCCGTTCTCATCCCAGAGGCACTTTTTCATATAATCCACCTATGCATCCTATTATACACTGGTTTTAAATTTCAAGAAATTGCATGAAACTCAGTAACGTGTCTAAATAAATTTCAAATGGAAGAACTTAGAAGTTTCTTCTAGAAACCTACAGATGTACATGCTTTCCAGCACTGAAACTCCCTGCCTTCCTTGTTCATGTAACTACTGTTCTGATGCCAAAGTGAAACTCTTTAAACCCATGGAACGACAAATATAACTATGTGATGATAGTACATCTGCACTAATGGTGGTAACAGAGTCAAAAGGGCACATATTTTAATGAAAAAAATCTCCTTGCAATTTATAGGTTCTATAAAAATGTTGATGTTGAGGTATTGGCCTGAAAAACAATCCCCTCTTTCATATCTCTATTCCCATTATTTTTTAAATACAAACTGGTCAGGCCACAAGGCTGTTAAAAACAAAATCTCAACCCAAGTGCTTTACTTTATCTGAATGTTCAGTTCACTTTGTACTAAAAACAAAACAAAATACTCAATTTGCCATTGTTTTGACATATACAGAATTTTAGTTATCTAGCAGTATGATAAATTATACTTTTTAATTTCATATATTTTTAATACAAATTTTGAAACCTACATGACCCTGAATATCATGGCATTTCTTATCAGCCTGCAACACACAAACAAGGCCAGAGCAGAACACAAAATTCTGTTACTAGAACAGTGAAGTTCAAGACTACACATACCAAATGTTGCTCATGGCCAATCCAAAGTACAGCATGAATGCATTGCAGTAAATATAAAAAAAATCCACTTGCATTACACGTAATACTCTTAGTTTTGCTGAGTTCCAAACGTAGGAGTACTCAAATCTTCTGATGCATTTTGTATTTATTGAATTGCAGTGGCTATTGGACTGTAGCAAGCAAAACTTAGCTCTCAGATACTGCTTGTAAATTCTTTGGACATGAAAAAAGCCAAAATAATGGTGATAGAGTAAAATACAGTTAACAGGTCTTGAATCAATTTGGGTCAATATTGTGTCACTATTTCAATACCTTGTGCACTGCTATATTTTCTGTCACAAAAATTGAAATTGTGTATCAGCAACATTTTCATTTCATACTATTCAATACATTCAATAGGTAGTGAATTATCTACAGAAAACTCACTTCTCTAAAACAGCTGGCAGAACAGGATTAGATGTTAGACTGCTCTTTCCATTGCTAGGTGATTCAGACTGTAAGTTGAAAAACAACAATAAATGCTACATCCATGAATAAATTTCAAATAGATCTTCAGTAAAACAAAATCAATATGCTACTTAAGGTTCCTTCTCTCATCCACTAGCACAATATCCTCATCAAAGAGCCCACAAGTTAATCCTTTCAACCACAATAAAGAATGGATTTAAAAATGAATAATATCAAATCTCTAAAATGCTTCCCCACTCCAGATAGAATCCAGTCTAATTCTTCATCTATTGATCACTAAACAATAAAATAACCCTTCAACCCAACAGGATTGTTTTTGTCCATCCTTTTGTGAGGATGGGGCCAAATTTAACCAATGAAAAGGCTTACATATTTAATAGCCATGGCTTGGTGTATGCAAAAGTATTTTAAACAAAAAATTCTGTGTTTAATTTGTGAGTTTTGCTTACCAGAGATGGCATTGAAGGTATAGGTGAAGCTGTTGGTGACTGACCAGGAATGTTTAAGGAGTTAAATTTAGGAACAACAGCAACGCTGACTCGCCTCCGAGGCATATTCTATGGTAAAGAACATTTTATGTATCATACAATAAAATAGGCTGAAGAAAAGTTTTGCAAGTTAATAGGTGACAAAAATGTAAGTTAATGCCAGCATCGAGCCCCTGTGGGAAGGGAAAGTTGGCAGCAAAATTATGCTGCTGTTAGGCTGTTGTCTTCCCCAAAACTTCATATCATACTGTCTGTTATGGCAAGTGCTTGGAGAAGAATGAGGCTTTGTACAGGGTTGCTGCTCATTTTCCTCTCCACTCTTAAAGTTCAATGGGTGAAGTGACCAAAGAGGTATGTTCTGAATTGGTGTCTTCAATTCTAATTAGAGGCTATGATCTTTGGTTAAGCCAGCTATGTAACGATACCGGGAAAAGTACCAGCGTCACAATTACTGCTAAATAATGAAGTTAAATATGATACTCTTTCCTTGTTATGTACACATTATGATAGATTGTATCCACTATTATATATTTATTTCTTATAAATTTATGTATTGTTACAGAAACAATAACATCCATTCCCTTCACAATAGAACAGCCTCCTTCCTCACACTCGAGTTGTTAGCATCTATCTAGCATTATGTGGCATTGCTTACATTTGCCAAAGCCCATTGAAACAATAAACATGCTAGCATTACACAAGACATAATTCAAGTACACTTAAGATAATTCGAGCTTTTGCTGTCATGAGTTAAGACAAATAGCTTACCATGTGATAGTGAGTTAGTGAAATCTATGCATCCCAAGGAGTAAGAAACCCAACCAAGTTCCTATAGCATCTACCAGCTTAATCTTAGTACATACCCATACTTTTCCAAGATTCTGCTCTAGATAACTTTACAGAAAAGGAGTTAAACATAAGTTTATTGAACATATGCATGGGATCAGCTACTCCATGATCCTGGTTCTAGACAGGACCAATTATATCTATTAATTAATGACAGAGGTCCACATAATGTGCTCCTGAAAAACTTTGCTGGAGAGTGAAGTCTTCTTACTCAGCACTCAGAAGTGATAGGAATAAACAAAACCTAAAGAACTACAGCCAAGAAAAGAGTAAAAATATGAATAGAAATACTAGACTCAATAATGCCTTTCATCACCAGATTTCAGAACAGCCAAACTGGTACTTAAGTCCCTCAAATTACTGGTTAAGTTAGGAGGATTTAAATAAACTTGAACTCCAGCACTCTTGGAAATACTAAGCAATTTTAGAAAAATGTGTAAAAACAATGTTAAGGTACATAATGATCTGAGATAATCTCCCTGTATCAATGCTTTGTCAAAGCCATACAAAATATTTTGATGGCAACTGAGAACTATTTCAAATTACTATTTGCATCTATCTTCTGAACACAATTGTAATTCTTAAGACAATGAAAAAGGTACGTTGCAGGATTCCCTCATTAAATAGAAAGCTTTGATCCAAAGTTCAGCATCCTCACCAAGAACTAAAGTAAAGCATAGGACCTATGTCACTACCTGCAGCAGAGGTAGATGGCCTGGAATATTAGTATTTGTAAATAAATAGTTCTCTTTACGCTTCACAGCAAGCATTATTGTTATCGCATAGAAGCATAAAGTCATTCCTAACCAGGCATCTAAAATTATAAAGCATGGATACGTTTGCACTAGATGACACAAACAATATTGAGAATTTACTGTTACCATATTAGAATGCAGACTATTAAATTTGAATGTACATAGACATTGCAAAAATACCTTTCCAACAGTAAGAGACATGGATCTAGATGAACGAGGTACTCCATCTTCTGCTTAAAAACAGTACATAAGGAACAGTCTTAGAATATATAAGAATCTTCAGTTGTGAATGTAAATGACATTAGTATAGCCCTTGTCAGCATTTTAAACTCAGACATACTGTATTTGCACAATGTCTCTTATGACTGCCTATTTATCTGTCATATAGTTCTGGCCTTATATACATCTGTGGCAGAAATATGAAATGACAAAAAACAACACACACATAAAAAACCCCATTACTATTCATACTGAGGTCATAAAAAAGCCCACTAATTACCTCTTTATACAAGTTTTTTTAAAAGAAAATACTCGTATTCGAGTTTCTGCCTCAAAAGTTAAGAATGAAAAATTGGCAAAAATAATTTTTTAAGTAATTAGGCTTTGCTACCAACTGTCATTTCAGAAGCAGATGCGTTAGAACTCTGCAAGCTATGCATATATGTAAGATTTCAGTACAAATCTTATTGGATCTAATCAGAATTCAGTAAGTGACAGTGAACTGAAAGTACTGTGCTATAACATTAAGCATGGTTTATTCGCAATAATTTAGGTGTTATAGCTATTATTTGAAGTCTATTTCTGTAGAACAGGTTTCCTGATATTTCACCTCTTATCATTAATATCACTAGATACCTCTCTGTACACAGGAAAGACAAACACTAGAGGATTTTTGTTTGTTTTTTTTACCAGATGCACCATAGTTTCTGCTAGAATTCTGATTAGCAAGTTTCTTAAACTCCATTAGTTCAGCATGATCTTTTTCATATGTTCTTTTCAGATTTTCCACATACTGCATCATTACTTCCGTTGCCTTTGACATACGCTTCTCCTATGGAACAAAGAAGAGAGGATTACCTGACTTGCATCTACGTTTCTCAAACTTATTATTTGCTTCTATGTGCATGTTCCCTGTCAGTTGTTCATTAAAAATATTGATATCTTGAAGATTAAGAATTCCTGAATCAATTAGAACCAAATATGAATGCATTAATATACCCAAAGAAATAATAATACCCAAAGAAAATAATCATTATTTTGTCATATTATGTCAATTTATACACTGTCTTTGTGCCCACATTATATAAGTAATTATAATCAATAATTATATATAATTATAAATAATTAGGTAACCAACATTATTGGTTATGTGTCATTTGTGCATTTATTTTCAAATTCTCCAAGCCCTTGGTCACTGGCCTCAGCCTAGTTACTTCATTTGACAAAAGTAACAGTCTTGAGCCCGAGAATGTGTTGCTGTATTCTCATTTACACTTGCTGTTTTAAGTTCTGAGTTGACTGTCTTCACCTATTGCCAAGGGCAGGTTACCAATCTGGATGAGCTTTTTTGACTGAATTTTGTTTTTTTTTATCCATGCTGCCCTAATTTTAAATGTTTCTTGTGATGCAGTTATAGTTCTAAATAATACATACACCCATTTTACAGATGTTACATAACTTCATAGGTAATTCTGTTTGAATTTTGTTTCAGTCTAAAAGGGGCATCTTCTTTGACACTGTAATAAATGTTTTTAATCTCTCAAAATGGTAAAATTCAAAGAGATAATAATCTACAGCTATGGCTGGTAAAAACACAAAACAAAACAAACTAGCAACTAAAAATCAAAACAACAACCAAGGAATAAACATCTGCAGCCAGGGTATATTTGTTAGACATCAGGATGCTAGACACCAGACACCTGGGCAGCCTGGTCTAAGTATTAAAGTATTAGATTGGTGGCCCTGCCTGTGGTGGGGGGGGGAGGGGGTAGGGGGAGTTATAGCTTCATGATCCTCGAGGTCCCTTCCAACCCGGGCCACTCTGTGATTCTGTGATGCTCTTACCTGACGTACGGCTCCAACCATTTCAGCACGACTGGACAGCCTAGCAGCTAAACGCCGCAGAACTGCAATGTCCTCCAGTAGTTTCTGGTAAGCTTCCCTGTGCTCGTAGTGATGCCATAAGTGAGCTGAAGACTGAAGAGAAAATATATAAGCCTTACTATTATGTCTTCCAACTTTAGAGTAACAGAACTGGTATAAGACACATCCAGGCAGAAGAGCACATTGTTGAATTCACCACAGAGGAATGGCACTCAACAAGCAAGTAAGTGCTGCTACTCTGACACAGAATGGTGCTTTACTGCATACTGTAGGCATGCTTTTCAAGAGGCTAATAAGGGCTGAGCACATTTGTAATTCTTTTTCCTTTGAAATCAGTTGTGATTCACAACTTTCTACCTACTTCACAAACTTTACAAATACCAACCTTATTTTACATATAACTTACAAATGGTTCCTGAAACAAGTAACATATTTACTTGCTTGGCACAAGGTGTTAAGAAGGCAATTTACGTTCTATCAGTTCCAAGATATTTCAGTCATTTTGAAAATCAATCTGACATTAAGGTCTTAAGAATTCCAAAAGTAAGAGATAATAGAGAGCAATATTGCATGTAATTCAAATGACAGTTGCATATTTTTAATCATTTTTCATCTATCACTACAAAGCTTTCTGCTCTTGATTAATACCATCACTTTGATGGATCAGATTTAATACTGAGAGTATATTGTTTGCTTGGGACTAGTACTAGAAGCAAGAGCAAATTTAGGTCTTTCATTAACCAGAACCTTAGCGAACATTTCTTCACCGAATCAGCTTTCTATTTGCAAAAAGGACCGATACAAGAAAATCTGACATAATGCAGTTCAGATTTACAGCAGACTGTGATGTTGACTGATTCCTATATTCTTAAAGTGTATTTTCAGTATGCTCCAAACTTAGCATTGAAATTGTCTTACATAATTAATGAGTATCACTGTTCACATAATCCTCTCTCTGATCAGTTACTCTGTGCCCTTCTTCACATGCTCTCCCTCATACTACTGCAAGATTAAGTCAGCACATTGAAATGATTAGTATGAAAGGAGTAATGTCTTCTTCTCCTCCTTTTTCTTCTCCTCCCTTCAAAGAAGGGAGTGGTGGACAATAACTTTTTTATTAGAAACTGTTGAGAAATCACATTTGTACTGCAAACCTTTGTTGTGGTAGCACAGCTAAGAGAATTTGGAGCAACAACTCCAATGACAATCATTTTCAAACTTACTTTATCACTGTAGCCAGTGTGTTAACAAATTGCAGCCTAAATTTGACTACAAGACCCAAGAGAATGGCAAGGAACATGTTTGGGAAAAACGTGCTCAGATTACAGATTTTTAAGTGTTCCTTGCCAAATGTAACTTAATTATTTTAACAAATCTGAAGTTCACGTAAGTGAGCTTTCACTTAAAGGTGGGTTTTTGAACAAGACAGAAATTAGTAAAGTTGAATAAAAGAATTGTAAACACTGGTCAAATTCATTAAGCAGTGTAATGAGCCTTTTCTAAAGAAATGAAGATAGTTTGCCACTTAGAGTGGGAACAGCTCTAATATGATACAGCAGAAGCTGTCCCATCATTTAATTGCTGTGTAGTTTATTCCATTTCATCAAAAAAAATGTCTATCACATGAAAATGACAGTTGCTATTTTGTTTTAAAAGCTTGTAAAAGGCAGGCTGCATCTTGTAAATCGAATGAAGGAGGGAAACCTTTCTCATTGGATAAGCACTCCAGTTCCTTGATCATCTTGGTAGACAGAATTCTGAGATGATTGAGAGAATGAAGCACCACTCCTACGAGGAGAGACTGAGAGAACTGGGACTGGTCGGGCTGGAGAAAAGGATGCTGGGGGAAATCTGATCAATGTGTATAAATACCTGAAGATGGGGTGCAAAGAAGATGGAGCCAGGTAATGGGCCATGGTGCCCAGTGCCAGGACAAACTGGAACACAAAAAGTTCCATCAAAAAACATCTGGAAACCCTTCAGTGTGGACATAATAGAGCACTGGCATAGGTTTCTCAGAGGCATTGTTTCCCTGCTTGGAGATGAGTAAAAGCTGCTTGGACACGGTCCTGAGCAACTCACTCTGCATGTCCATGCTCAAGCAGGTGGTTGGACCAGAGGTCTTTGTTAACCTTAACAAATCTGATTCTGTGAAAGCTGATTGCAGATGTCCAAAACTGGCAACTTGATTATCAGTGTCTAATTAGGGATAATTTAGCATGTTAAATGTAACAAACTAGATGTTTGCAGCTGAAAATTCCCTTTTACACTAATTGGAAATAAATAGTAAGTATATAAATATTATAACTAATAGAGCCCTGAGATTTTACAGGTTGTTTCTGCTTGCTCTTTAAACAGAGGCAAGATCTGCAAAATATTCTCAACACTTTTTCCCTAGCAGCAACCTGTATGTGCAGATTTGAAATTCCACATAAAAAGATGTAAATATCACAACTTTTGTTAATTGCATCCTTTCTCACAAAAATAAGAGAATTTTATGTTTTCTTAGCTATTTCTCAAAACTGTACCAACACTTTCTTGCAAGGTGCTATTTCGGTTACAAGCATGGTATCCATGCACCTTCTTCCTTTTCTTTTTTTCTTTCTTTTTTTTTTTTTTTTTGCACAAAAATGTGCATAGCACATAAATTAACACATCTCAGATGAACTTGTCATTTCAGTTAGAAAATCCAAAGAAAGCTGGTGAGAAGAACTGAAAACTACTGCTGACAAAATAAAATGAAGGGCGGCTAGAATGAAAAAGTGTTTAGGTCTGTAACCTTTTCCTAAGATCACATGTATTCCTTACGTAACCCTCACTGTTTTCTTATCCATGCAGTCTTTTATTATCTGCAGTTCACTGATCTTTTATGTTACAAACTTCTGAACTCAAGCTTCAGATCATTTCAGTATCTCACTTAACCAGATACTGCAAATTCACTGCTAAAGAAGGTCTCATCCAAGAGAGCATGAATCAGTGCTCAAACTGCAGTTTTACATGCTCTTAACTTTGTCACTGGCTTATTCTAAGAACTGAACCTCAGGTTCATAGCATTTATCATTGAAAATTGCTAGAAGTAGGGCTTCATTCTCTACATGTTTTCAGCAACAGTAGCCCACTCTGGCAGGAAATGCTCTCTCTTCAGCAGGGAGTTACATAATGAGCTCAAGCAGTAGAAAATGATGTTTTGGGATACAATTTAGGCTAAGTATAAGCAAGCACAGATATACATTTCAAACATGTGTGCACTTGCATCTGTACAAGTGTCATTCAGGGAAATATTTATTGCTGTTTTCTTACCGTAATGGCTGTTTTAAAGTTTTCCAGTTCCTTCTCAGCATTCTGTTCAGTAAGATTTCTCTCTCTCTCTGCTTGGTTAATTCTTGATTCCAAGGTATAACTATCATTTCTAAAGGCCAAGGAAAGTTGTACAAATACATTCTGTTTGGATTTAAAAGAAGGCGATTTTAAATCAGTGCCACTGTACTGCAATTTGCAGAAACAACTTATGAATACAGTATAAATTTAACAAACTTCAGTACTTAAAATATTAAAATATTAAAATCTTAAATATATTAAATATATTAAATATATTAAATATATTAAATGTATTAAATATTGAAATAGAAAAATGAAAATATCATTTAGAAATTGTTTAAAATATCAGTTCTCATTACTTCCTCTAAAAATGTGAGTGTTTTCATGAATGTTTCTCTGGGAGATCAATTGAGCAGAGACACAATGACGGAAGTAGCCTAACCGAAGCATTGGAAGCACAATGAATCTGTTTTTTAACTGGACTTCCTCCAAGGGTCCCTAAGGTTTTTAAACAGACAGTCTGTGTAGAGGAAATCCAGGGATGAGCTCACCATGAGCATTGTTTTACCTAAGGGATAAACATCTACCACCAAAAGCAAAAGATCAAGTGCTTAACATTCTCCCAAACCCTGCTTTTAAAAGTTGTCACTCAGAATTGAGGCACACAAAATAAAAGGCACAAATAAATCAGGGGCATATGTAAGATCATAATTAATTTAAATACAGAATGAATTTATTAAGGCATAAAATGCACTTTGCGTAACTGAAAAATGTTACATGAATTCAGAATATTTTTCTTTAATCAAGAATTAGAACTTGTGTTATTCAGAAGCTTACATGAACATAGAGCAACGTTCCCTTTGCTGTCTAAATTTATCAGTTTAAGGACACGCTTACCTCAACTTCTTTTTCAGTAAGTGGAGGGGAGCTAGAAATAAAAGCAAAACAATTCAGATTTTTAGTTTTGTCTCTTAAAAACAAATATATTGAAATATTTAATTGGAAATAACAAAGAATGTATTTCCCTTAAATATCTTACGATTCCTTTTGTTCAAACCAGTATTATTTATTTATTTGCTTGTTTTTTTCGTAACAACAGCACAAGTATCACTTGAATATTAACAGAAATAAATCAAAGTTTCTAGAAATTGCAAATATTGTTACAAATATCTGCACTATGCTGTGATAAATTTCAAATAGAAGAGCCAGCCAGAAAATACCCTCTTAGAGTTGCAGGTCAACAAATACACTGCACTTGTGATTATTATCATTATGTATTTTACTTGTGTTATCAGCTTAAATCTTGTGATGATACTAATCACAGATGGATGGCACTCAGGGCTTGGGGCATCATCCACTCACTTTTTTCTCTTACACTAAAAACTCTGAGCTCAACTAATTCATCATCACCATGGTCAAGACAGCCACCCACTGTCACCTCTCCCACAAAGCCTTCCCTACTCTCAGACAGATCAAGGACAGCACCTTTCCTAGATGGCTCACTCAGTAAGTTATTTTCAACATGATTTAGCAATTTCCCAGATTTGTTGTGGCAGTGTGATATTCCCAATTATGTCTCAGAATTTGACTCTATAAGGACGAAAGTAACCAATGCTGAGATTTTTCCTAATTGCCTATAGCTTATGCCATTGTCCCGGGTGAGTGGTGTGTAGTAGACACCCACAACATCTGCACTGCTATCTATCTCTTTTATCCTCACCCAGAGGCTCTCTGCTCCAATGACAAAGGCTGTACAGGCTAATGTTTCCCTCATGCACAGCACAGCATCTCCACCTTTGTTGCCTTGACAGTCCCTTCTGAACAGCCAATACCCTTCCATCCCAACACTCCAAAGATAGGACTCATTCCACCAAGTCTCAATAGTACCAGTGATATCATAGCTCCAAGAAAGGACCAAAGCTTCCAGTCCATCCCCACTTGATCCTCATGCTGCATGTGCTGATATGTAAACATTTCAGATATGCCCCTGAACCTGCAATACTCCTTGGAGTGGCACTGATGCTCCCATTAGCCTTGCCACTCTCACACAGTACCTACCGTACCATCCCTTGGTTTAACATGAGAGTTCCTAATGGCATTCCACTCCCATACTAATCCTACTTTAAAGCTTTTTCAAACAGTTTTGCCAAGAAATGTTTTCATAAGTGAGTCCCGTCATACTCAGCAGACTTCTTGCTTCTAAGATAAAGAAGGAAAAAAACCCTTCAGCCATAGAAGATGTTAAGCAATCTGCTGATAACTGCCCACCTGCACATCTCAAGGTCACGGGACCTGTATGTTCAACTATGTTTGCAGAATAACAATATTCATTTCACAGAAAAATCATCACTTGCAGAAAAGCTGCAGAATTTTGCCATGTCCAGATTTTTCCACTAAAAAACATCTGGCTTGAAGAGATACTAACACTTCCAACATGATTTCATATCCACAGCAGCAATCACAAAAAGCAGGAGTAGACAGATTAGTAGCTGTTCTGTATGAAAGCATGCTTGTAGTATGTAAGTTAAGTTTTAGACTTTTTATGTAGTACTTAGAAACCATTTTGAGAATTAATCACTCACAGTTGGTGCGCTCCCCAAACTATTCAGAAAATCTGTGTTGCATGTTTTAAGATGCAGCAGATTCTCTACATGTATGAATCCACCATATAAATAGAAACCCAGAAAGGGAGTTCACTGAAAATTCTTAGTACACCTTGACCTAGGTAATTCCTTGCTACTTTCAATAAGCTTTTACCTTCCTGGAAGAGATTTGTGCACACGTAGCTTTCGCAGCAATATGTCAGGAATACCAGGCATGACATCAGAGCTATTCTTTGCCTCTTCCTCTTCAGTGGGGGAGGGGAGAGGTGAAGGACCTAGAGACATTTTCAGACAAAAACCTTTTAGATGTTATTTGAGAAGCCATGCATTAATAATCAAGTCAGCATCTCACAGTCAAATAGAACTTTTTAAACCTAACCATGACTTTTTTTTTAAAGTTAATGAGGATTCTACTCCACCTCTACTCATTAAAAAAAGCAAGGTAATAAAAAAATTTCTAAGCCTATTAATGCAGAACAATGCTTCTTGGATTACATACATTGATGCATCACTCATCTCCTGTCTTCTTTTTGAGCAGGTGCAACAAGGGTAACCACTACAAATGTCATTCTTAACACAGAGAAATTGAAGTAATTGGTACTCTAACAGTCTCTAATGCACTGAAAAATTCTTCTTGTGTTTTTTCTACAATTCAAATAGAATCCAAATTCATTACCATAACATCTGACATTTCACATGTGGGCTTTTTCAGTGTACCTCCCTCATGTCTTGAATATTTTAGCTTATGTTTCATAATAGTACTATCAGTACATAATAGTACTGTCATTTTCTAGGCTTTAAATGCCACCTGACAGAATGATTACTCCTATACTTAACTACTACACTACACAACACGTACCACTACACTACTGCAGATTTTGTTCATTTTTATGATGACTCTTCACTACAGCATGTACCATTCACACTGAATTTTCATTGAAACAGGTCGTGAAAGATGCAAATTTTCACTTTCATGAGGACTAAGATATCTTAGGTATCTTAGGTTCAAATGCTATTTTTTAAAAGTTATGTTACTTGATTTTAATTTTATTTAATTTTGTGTACAATAATTTACTGTCTCCTCTTACTTTGACAAAATTTAAAGAAAGACTCTCCTGTAGGAAAGCCGGGTTCCCCAGTTTTAACCTGAGACCTTTGCATAGCCTTACTGTTCATTTCGCATAACAGTTTCTTAGACTTTCAGAGCATTGTGCAAAAGCTCAGATTTTTTTAATTGGGGAAAACACAGATGTGAAAGCTAAATTCTTTTTAGCTACATTTTAGTTCTGTGCAATTCTTTTATATTTAAAAATCTCATTATTTAAGAACCATTGCGTATGATGTCAAAAAACAGCCCAACACCGAAAGGTCTCCAACCTAATATAGTCCTCTTTTCTAAACAATCTATAGACACAACATCCTTTCTAGGACAATCACAATAACTTGGCAGCAATTACAAAATTCGTTGGAGCCAATATACTTGATTCTCAACAGTAATACTGAAGTAGCTGGCTACTTCCTATTATTAAAGCAGAATTACAACTCTAGCTAAAAAGAACAAAGTGGCTCTTACGACAATGTAAGGAAGTAAGTCTATCTAACAAATGAGCTAAGGATTTGTCCTCTCAATTGCTTTATCCATTCAGGAGAAAAAGTTTGATTGACACCCTTAATGTGCTGGCTATCATTTAGACGTGTAATAGACTTTAAAATACTAGTGATACTTTTGAGATTTTAGTTAGCAAGCTGGATCAAATAAAAAAGCTCCCTCTTTGAAAGATAACAGCAGAACACGGGAAAATGGTTTGAAGTTGAAGGAAGGAAGATTTAGGTTGGATGTCAGGGGGAAGTTCTTTGCTATGAGAGTAGTGAGTGCTGGAACAGCTGCCCAGAGAGGTTGTGGATGCCCCATCCCTGGAGGTGTTCAAGGCCAGGTTGGATGGGGCCCTGGGCAGCCTGGTCTAGTATGAAATGTGGAGGTTGGTGGTCCTGCCTGTGGCAGGGGGGTTGGAGATTCATGATCCTTGAGGTTCCTTCCAACCCTGGCCATTCTGTGATTCTGATTCTGTGATCAAATAATGGGTAAATTTTCATAATGTTTTCCCCAAAAGTTTCAGATCTCTCTAAGTGTTTAAAAAACTGGCAAAATATCACCTATTTTACACTTTCAGACAAAGTGCACAAAACAATTTCTGGGAAATGGTAACAGAGAGATAGGAATAATACTACCATACATAGGAATCCAAAAATACAATCACAATGTACAGGTAGAGGATAGTAAGTGTTTTTTAATCTTGCTTCATTCAGATTGAAGATAAGACTGTTTCCAGAGATAACATGAAATGTAGTATCTCAGTCATTCCCAAGTAACAGAAGCTTTAAGGTCATATGAAACAAAAGTAAGGTCCCAGAGCGTACAAAGAATAGCACCTTTCACATTGTATCCTTCTATTCCTGCTTCCCAGAAGTGTACCATACAGGGCAAGGGCTACGCTACTCATCTCTCAATCATCATTTACTACACTCCTCCATTACTACTCCATTGGAATTACTTTTGTAATTGAAGAACAAGAAACATTTTGGTTTTTATTTTCTTTTTTAATTAATTATAAAAATCAGTGTATGACAAACACACACCCATTCACACTTTTATGATACTGCACCTTTTTCCTGTTCAGCTGCTTCACTAAGTTCAGGAAGTTTAAGTCCAACTAAGTTTTGATTTCTCATCAAAATATGCTCCTGTTAAGAAAAACAGTAACATTTCCAAGTAACTTAATTAAAAATCTCAATGTAAAGAGCTCTGACACGTGAACACTAAAAATATAACATTCACTTTATTTAATAAAGGTAATTGAGATATTTATATGAAGTTATTTGTATTTGAAGTTTATTGGTATTGCATATTTCAAATTTCATGCATGCAGTATTTAGCAAAATTACTGGTCAGGTGAATAGATTTGCAACTTGTTCCCCTCCTGCTCTCATTGAAAAAAGGAGTTTTAATAAGTGAGAGTGAAAAAAGCGCTGCTGGATATAGCCATAGTACTAAGCAAGTATCCCCAAATGAAATGAGAAAATCCAGAATATGAGATACATAAAATTGACACTTTATTCAGTAGTATTTGCTTACATCAAAGCTTCATTGCTACTGTATTCTGCCACTATTCCCTGCAGGTACAAAGAAAGCACACTTAAGGACTAAGCTTCATCAATATTTTTTCTCTTTCTACTATCACGTCATTTCCTACTTTCATATTCTCAAATATATTTAAAATTCACAAACATCTGCTTTCATTTATAAGAAGATAATTCTCATTAGAATCAGAGCTCAAATCCTTCATAACTGGAATTACATTTCATGTTCTGTTAATTTTTTGATTCTAACTACTAATTGTGTTTAGCAGCCACTAAGATACTCAAAATCATATGGCTCAAGTGTCTCTATAGCAAATATTCTAATACAGATGTAGTAAGAGTATATGTGTTATATAAACAGGAAAAGATGAATAACCAAGCTGACATTCCAAGCACTACAATGACCAAAGTGCAGAATTTGAGGCCTTCCTCACCATTATTATGATGTTCTAAGGAACTGTGACTTTTAAAGGGGAGCAAGGGAAAAGTCCTGCTTTGTTTACAGCATGTGTGTACATCTTGGTCAGTGTACATCGGTGGTTTATTTTTTCATGTCACTTCTTTTTCAGTAAAATGGCTAATTCTTAATGCAACATAACCATACCAAAACAACTTCCTGTTGCCTGAGATATTTTAAATATAATATTATTGCAAAGTTCAGTATTCCTGAGTGATACGACTACTGCCCTTTAAAGGGAGACTGCCAAGAGGCAAACAGGATTCAAAAAACACCCAACTGAACAAAGTAGAAGTGATTTTTGAAAACAAAGAACACTTTACAAATACTTTGAGTTGCAAGAGGTTTTAAGCCCATAAACAAAACTATAGTATCCATTTCTAAACTTAAGTTAAAGCTTTCAGTTTATACACAGGTCTCCTTTCATACAGAAATCAGCCTGTTTGCATTTTGTAAGTCTGGTTCTGAGAAAAACTCTGAAGGAACAGAGAAAGCACAGTGAAGTGAAAGAAAGGAAGTGAAAGAGCCTAAGCAACCCTTTTAAAGAGAATGTTATTATATCCTCAGGAAGGAAAGATTCTTCAGAACTAAAATTCTTCTTAGAAACCAGAGGAGATCATTTTACTTGTAAGTGTGTTTTACAAACGACATGATCATTAATCAACTGCTTCCTGTTTATAGTTCATGTAAACTATGCAAAAAAGAGCAACTGTGATTTATACTCACCTTTTTGTCATAATGAAAACAATTAGCTTCCTTGACACTCATATTATAATTATTTCTGAGGGCAAAAACATACACGTGCAAGAGCACATGTGCATATGGAAGAGATAACAGTACAGTTGATGCATATTGTGAATGAACTAGGAAACAAAGTAATTCCACGGCATGTAGTTATAGGTTACAATTCATTGAAGTTGCAAAGGAAAAATATCACTGATTTTGCTAAAACTGCATTAGTGTACATTTCTTAAATGATAGATTAGATTAGTGCACATTTCTTAAAATGATAAAAATAAGGCTAAGCGAGTTGAAAGTTCAGTAAGATACAAAAATAAGTTTACAGCAGGATAAAATCAGGACTCACCTCTCTGAGTTTTGTCAATTTCTGCATCCGAACAGGTTGAACTTGGATTTGGAGGTCTTTGAATGCTTTTATTTGATTGCTGGATTTATTACCAACAAAGCTTTTATCTTCCTCAGATGGTAACTTCACGGGTACTTTATCTTTCTGTCCAGGCTCTAAACTATCCCATGATACAGCTCGTAGAAGAGGAGGACGCAGCCCACACAGTTTAAATTCTGGTTTAAAAGAAACTTTATGGTCCCTCATTTCTGGAACAGGACTTTTTAGCTTTGAGTCTATATTTCCTATTCCTGGTCCTGGTAGATGGGTTCTTAAAGGAACATCATTTTCTTTTGCTTTCTTGAGGAAGGATTTTCCGAGTTCATTTTCAGAGACGTTCAAGCAAGTGTTAAGAGACATTCTGCCACCATCACTACCTGAAGGGGAGCACTTAGGTAAAGTATTTACATGCGTACGTGGATCAAAGTTTTCTTTCTGTTCAGAGAGTTTTTCTTTGGGGTTTTCAAAACCAGCAGAACGAGGAACCAGCCTTCCCTGAGAAATCTTTCTTTGATCATTCAGCCTGCGATCCATTAAGCCTTTGCAAACATTCTAAAGGTAGAGGGACACAAATAAAAATGTGATTTTCTTTTTCCCTGTATAGGGTCATTTTCCTTCACATTGATGTTTGCTTTTGAACATGTGCTGTTAACAGCTGAATAATTTTTAACTGCACTTGAAAAAAAATGAGTTGGGAATCTCTTCTCTGAATCTTTAAGATAATATCCTCCTCATTCCAAAAATCCTCATATAATCAGGATTCTCATCATCTTAATATAAGTTGATCATCTAACATAAGGTTTGCCTGAGTATCTGCCTCTAATCCCAGATCTTTTAGTTTTTTTAGATTTCTTGACTTGATTGTTTTCTCTTTTTGTTTGTTCCTCATCTCCCAAGAGAAAAAATTTAGGCTTGCACATAAATATAAAGAACATACTGTAACTTCTCCCTATGTTTGTCAGATCTCCATGTTCCTATCTACTTCCATTTCTAGTAGCGTGTTTAATTCTACATAATACTGCCAAAAAATTACATTAAAATGTAGTTGATTACTCTGTTCACCAACCTATACCTTATCTTTCTTCTATTCTATTGTTACTTGAGATAAATAATTCGCATCATTTTAGTGTGCGCAGGACTTCATTATCATGCAGCTTTAATAGCAAAAGTCCTATCAGCCAAATATAAGGCTGTTACAGGTTTTAGGGCTAAGGAAGTATGGTTAAGGTATGTTAATCATCCTATTGTCACTGTGATACAGTAAGATACAGAGACAACTGAGGCTGTTGTATAGAATATATGCATGCTAACTATATAGAGTCTTACTCTGCATATATCACAACAGGTTATAATTTGGTTGCAGTCTCCATAAGAACTGACAAAAGAACAACTGCTTATTCCTTCTGTACTTTAGTACAGAATCTGTAATTTTGCTAAGAGCACCTATGTCAGTAATTTAAGGCAACAAACACTCCACTGGGAACATCTGACCCAAGTATGTTGCTACTCTTCCCCTTCGTAGTTATTGCTCCAAAACTCTGCTGCATTTAAAGTATTGCCTAATCCACTCATGACAAAATCTTTTCAAAGGGCCGTGTGATGCTACCTGAAGCAAATTAGAAAGCACTCACATAAACTGCTCAACAAATAGGAACATGAAGTTGTAACACCCTATCAGCAGTACCCACTACTAAGTATGGTAACCTCTTCTGCTCAACTAAGTAGATCTAGAAGAGTTCATCCATCTGAAACAGAAGCATACACTGAAGTTGCTGAAGGGGGAATTTTAATTTAGAATTAAAGTTACTCAGCATATTGATTTTAATTAAGATAAAGCATGAATAAAAGCGTGTGAACGATAGGATGCAGAGCACAGCTGTAGCCTGTTTTCCTTCAGTATATTTTGGTGCTTTGCAGTTTCCTAGTTAAGTATGCTTTTTTTTCCTTAGTGGAGTATTGCTTTTCTGTTCAGTTAGCAAACAGTTCTTAGTTTATTTAATCACATAAATAATTTGTATATGTGCTCAGAAAAAAAACAGATTTAGTTTTAGAACACCATATAAAGCACTTACCTCTGCAGTTTGCCTGTCATCTTCTTTAAAAGTTCTGTTATTCTAGCAAAAAAAGGGTAAGGAAAAAAAATTGTTTGTGCTTTCAAGCTATGCTGCAATGTTGGGTATAGATATTAAAGGATGAACTTTAATACATAATTTTATTTTTATTTTTACATTGTCCCATTTATTTATGAAGTAACCTTACGAACTGTTTTTTTCCATAGATTAGGATTATATTGGATCTTTTTCCATTTAGTATACTTCACAATTCTCTATGATCCTTCAGTGCTTATTACATCATGGATTTTAGACTTCAGAATTAGCATTTATTAATTCTTAAATTTGTAGAAAAACATGCCAATAATCTCACTTTAGCATAGAAAAAAGTATTGAAAACACTCACTTTCCTCAGGGATGAATAGGACAGTGTAGTATGTGCAGTACTTGAATAATCAGGTTAGTGTGCAGAATACTCAGCTCGTTCTTACCTGAACTGGAGACGCTGACTCAACACTAGTGGCTGTACATATATCAGACCCTAGGAAGACACACGTGATTAAAGCATGATTAAATCCTGGTGGTTTTGCTCAAAAATTTGAATACCACACATTAGCAAATCCACATACACACACTTACATATAGCATGCTAAGAACAAAATAAAATATTATTTAAAAAGAAAAATAAAACCTGAAGTATGAGAAGTGAAAGATCCTCAAAATGTAGCACAATTCTACTATAAAAAAGAGTAAAAAATAACCTGTATCCTAGAAGCATTACTACAGGAGTACAATATAATGCAGAAAAATAGAAAAGTAAATATATAAGCCTTAATGAACTTTGTCATATTCACAAGTAAATGCTTCAACCTATAGACTAATTTATTCTCTAGAGGAAATTCTAAACATATTTCATTGACAATTTATATATGATTTGAGTTTGCATAGAAGTTTTTACCTGATGGAACAGGAAGAGTAAGAGAGTTGCTCCGAGATGCTACTGGTGAAACTTTTGGACTAAGCGTAGGCGAAACAGCTTCATTAAAACAAAAAAATAAGACAGTAATTTTACTCTCTAAGTTTATAGATTCTGAATTTTTAAAATTCAAATAAGATTAAAACATTAGTCTTGTAATCATCAACTTAAAACATTAGTCTTGTAGTCATCATCAGACATTTGTCCAAACTGGACCAGTCATTTTAATTGCCAAGTTATACTTGACTATTAGGAGCTTTGAGTAGGCTTTATCTCATGTATTTAGCACAAACTAACAAATTTTGTTGATATATAGAAATTTCATTACCCTCAGTTTCATGAGTTCTGCAGAGAAGTGGACACAAGAGGACTCATAAGGAATTTTTTTAAAAAAGGAAATTTTAGTTTAAAAATATATAAAGTTTTATCTCCTTGCATAAAGTGTCAACCTGATTTTAAGACAGAATTTTGTTTTGATTTGGTATTTCAGAACTAATTTATAGTTCTATTTAATGACAAAATGAGATTTAGTCCTAGCCATCAAACACTTAAGAGAAACTATTTCCAATGACATTCCGGAACAGAACAATTTGTTCTATTTCTTTTTAGTGAAAATCTGATTCACTTAGCTTAGTTTATGACTATATCCAGAATAAAAGTCGGTATAGTTATATCTGGGTGATATGGTTTTCTGCAGTACAAATGTTTTGTCAAAGTTTCGTTTTATCTATCTTTATCTCAAGTAGGAACTTGAGGCAGAAAATCTTGACAAACAAATTTGTTTAAGATTCTGACTGAAACACTTCCTCCTTTCATGCTACATTGTCTTCAGCGTACAGGTCAGGCACACAGAAACACTGTCTTCCACTGTTAAATCTAAATATCAAGATTGATATTTTCTATTTTGTACTGAAAAGTGAAGAGAAGCTGAGGGACACTGACCTACAAATTAACAAAATATATGCATGCAGTAGCAGTGTATGCATTACAGTAGATGCTCATTTGTGCTTTTGCAGATTTCCAACGTACAATCTAAAATTGTATCCTCAAAATCCATACCTACCTGTGGGTGACTCAGGGAGACTGCTTCTTGACTTTCTGCCTCTGCGCATTAGAAATCTTTCACTCACTTTCTTTGCTTCTTCTAGTAATTCAAGGTTCTTCTTTTTGTCCTCTTCTGATATGTTGACATCTGGTAGCTGATCATTTACCAGATCAATCACATGACCGTTGTTGTCTGGGTTGAAAATGGCAGAATTAGAACAGTACCTCATGTATCCGTGCTGCACTTTGGAATAACCAGCATGAAAATTTGCTTTAAAGTTAGCTTTGAGTTTCCATTAATTAAAAATTCATGCCCACTCATCTTCTAATCCTGTTATATTCTCAATTTTAGGTCATCAAAAACACAGATAACCTGAGATTCTAATTTGTCACAACAGAATTGGCTTTAGAACCATCTCAACAACTCAAGTAGTCATGGCATTTCTGCTGTATACTCAATTTTTCAATGAGTTTTGTGTTTCCAGTTTTTCAAGGCTAAGAACCCATGAATCTGGCATAGATTTATGCACACTAGCACCAGTTATAACACGTTGTATGTCCACTTATGGTCATGTTAGATATGCAGCCCAGGAGAGCGCATGGATCAAAACCTGAAAGCCACAGACCTACCCTTAGATCCTTGGACTAAAGCATTATTTTCTGAAGAGTTTTTAATGAATTGTCAACGAAACTCTTATCTTAATCTTTGGCTTTCAAATTTGTTGAAAACAATAATATTTGAGCATTATTTTTTAAATTCTTTAGGCTACCACTAAGCAAGAAATATAGCCTGTTGTCAGAAGGGTTCTGTCTGTATGAGCTGGTGCGAGCAGCTTCTACAAATGTTTATAGAATTTTAAAGAAAGTATTACCTGAAGACAAGCAGCCAAAGAACGAAAAGATACATGCAGTTATGAATAGTGAGCACCTTCTCTCTGTATGGCTGAGAAATTAATCCCAGAGCAACACTAGAAATACTGCTTGCATGAACTCTTATTAAGAAATCAAGAATATCTTCTCTAGGATAGCCTGCTTGTTTTCCTTAAAAGTTTATTGTGATATGATAAACAAACTGGAAAATTTGAGACTTAAGTTCCCTTTGACAGCAAAAGTTCCAGTGTTTTAAAAGTAACCAAAATCAGTATTACTGAACAGTATTTTGAACACAACAGGGATTTTAAGCTTGTGCATCTCTGGCCTTCTAAAAATATTAAGCTAAAATACTAATCTAACAATTTTGTTAAACTGACCATATACATATTTCTCTGGACCTGTTCACATGCAAGCCCCTTATGATCATAAACTCTTGATCACTATGCATTATGGTACCAAATTCACAGTGCGTGCATTACATATAAGGATGCACAGGAAAAAAAAAGATGTGGTCAAAGAAACGTCCTAGCTTAAATGAATAATCATTTCTTACCAACAGAAGTCAATGAACTTGTTGGATTCCTAGTGGCACGGTTAGAATGTCTTCTATGAGGACTACGAGGTCTAGAGAGAAAAATGAATGACAAATATTATGGGAATATGTCACTAAGAAAAAAAAAGGCTCTACTTTTCTATTACCTCCAAAATATTAACATTGAAAGAGAAAACATTAATGAAGTAATACTTTTAAAAATACATTGGAATGACATTAAGAAAGCAGGAAATAAAAACCGAAATTATTTCCATTTTGTCTTCACTCTAACTTCCCAGAAAATCTCGAGTTTAATGGTTGAGTTCTGTTCTATATTAAAAGTGAGGTTAAAGACTTATGGATTTTGATGGTAACATATGAAAGTTTTTACTCCCTTTTATATTTTAAAAAATGCAGTTTTCCTATTATGGCATAAAACTCATCTAAATACAGTATGTTGCAAAAAGTTATTCTTAGTCTTTATAAGTTGTTAGTTTCCTAAAATAAGTTTTATGCATTAAAATTATCTCTTAGGCTACCATAATTGCACAGAACCAGGGGAATATCTCATAAAATCAAGTGATGATCCAGCAGATAATGCTTTTTTAAAATGGTTGCACTGTAATTTTAACTCTTAAACAATCCTCAAGTTCAGGCAAGCATACTTTAAAGATATAAGCAAATCATAGCACAGGTCTTGATCAATAGATTCTGATTAGTTCTTCATATAATTTAAGGCCAGGTTAATAAGTATGCTTTATTAGTAGAGTGAAAATAACAATAATTCCATTCAGCAACTTACTTTCATGTATACTAGAATTCAAGGTGCAATTTTTGCTCTGTCTACCTGAATAGACATTTGCCTCAAAACTCACTGTATTTAGTCATTATATACTCCATTCTTTCAACTGTCTATCTTAGGAATATTGTCTGCTTGAATTTTTAACTGATACATATTTTATCACAATAGCTCAGGAGTGCAGTCCTAGCTCTTTCCAAAGCTCTCACTGCTTCAATGGAAATATTTATATGAATAAGGGCAGCAGTACTGGCATATGTATATATATATAAGCAGTAGTCCAGAATTAGGGATTTAGTTATTAAAGGAATGTTTTTCAATTTAATAAAACTTTCCCATGTAGGGAGGGCGGGGAACTTCATTACATCGATTGTTGATAGACTGTGTCCAGGTTAATATTTCAGATTTAGACATAAGAAGAGTATGTGTACTTATGCCATGCATTGAATATGAGGAATTAAACTGTCACTCATCCTAGTAGTAGATGTACAATTGTAGCACATAAACACATACCATTTTATGCCTATGGAAGGACTAAGTAATTTTTTCTTCACTAGGGCATACTCTACTTTCAGAAGGATAGATTTCAAAAGTTATAGCTGTCAGTTGAAGCATGCATAACTTTCACTTACGTTTTTGTTTAAATTACTCTATTCTGAAAGATTAGAAAATAAACAATTTTGAAGGATACCAATTTAGGTTTGCAGGATTAGTGACATAAGAAACTGTTCTTTAATATCAACTGTACTTCCAACACCCAAATTCCCTGCACCCAAAAGGAAAGACAATACAATCTAATTACTACAAGGGCTGCTCCTAAAATACCATCTCTGATTTTACTACGTTGGCTGACAAGGTCAGGCAGATGGTGATACAGCAATGGAACTTGAACCTGCCCACCAATATATTCTATTATAGTTTGTTTCCGTGTAACAGATGGCAGCAGAGGGGCAGACTGACAAAAAGGTGTCTGATGTGGAAGTATGGATGAAGCAAAGGTGTGTCACTGAATTTGCCCACGTAGAAAAAGTGGAACTCATTGACATTTGTCAGTGTTTGCTGAATGTTTATGACAACTGAAGTGTGGATGTGAGCATAGTGAGGTGATGGGTGGTATATTGCAACAGTGGTGACAGTGAGTCACCTCCATTGTTTCAGATTTGTATGAGTAGAGAATTGTGGTGAAAATACACAGCTCAAGGTGGTGACTATGCTGAAAATCAGTATTTCGTAGCTGAGAATTTGCTCTAACAAATAGTGTTATTGTGTTCTTTGTATCTGTTGGAGTTGAGAACAAATAGGAGGCATTACTTTTGGAACAACCTATGTACAAGGACACATCAACGATATTTTAGTATGACACACATTTCAAAGCAAATTCTTAGAAACAGCTCCCAGAATTACTGTACAAATTATTCATAGATTGGTAGCATATAATGTAGTACCTGTTAACCAGATTTTTATCGATTTCTGCATCAGGCATACTAGCATTCTCTGGAAGAACAATAGAAGGTGTACTGCTTGTAGTTCCTTCAGCATCGGTGTCCTGAATGGTTTGTTATAAACATAAAAATAAAGTTGAGCAGAAATTCAAAGTACTGAATATCCATCTGAGGGGAAAATAATTGGGATTTTTCTATTTAGCCTACAAATGACTGAACTGAGAATTAGCTTTTATCTGATAAGACATATTTGAGTTTAAAATCTTTATTTACACTGCTAGAAACAATTATAATTGCTTCTGCTAGGCACTAGTATGTAAAAGAAGAAAATGCTGTATTATTTAGTCATTTTTATTCTAAATTTTTCTTGAAATAGCATCCCAAAGTTCCATAAGAAATTTTGACTTCAATTGGCAGTTGACATTTGTGTCCCTGCTCACGGCAGGGAAGTTAGAGCTATATGACCTTTAAAGACCCCTTCCAATCCAACATTCCATGATTCTGTGACATTTCTGAATCTTGAAGAGGAGCATGCTTACTAACCGTGGCACAAAGCCACTCACATTCAACTGTTATAAACAACATTTTGCAAACGCCATTTGCTCTCAATTGTGCTTACTACTTTAAGAATATTTATCTATTAAAGGCTCACAGAAGCATAATGAATTCAAAATAAAAAAAATAATTATTTTAGTAATTGTTAACACAGAAAATAAAGAGCTGCTGTAAAAAATAATTTGTGCATTTGAATAATTACTCATGATAATTTAGCTTAACACATTAATGTTTTAGAGCATAGAGATTTCAATCATTTTGATTCTTTGCATTGAAAGTCATCAATTTATAATTTTGTTTCCATCATCTAACGGAGACTTTTTTTTGGAGAAGTTAGGGTAGTCCTAAGGTTTGTTACAACAAGCAAGTGGCAATAGAATAAACTGAAATAAAATTATATGCATACAGAAAGATACTATCATAGAATCATAGAATGGCCTGGGTTGAAAAGGACCACAATGATCATGTAGATTCAACCTGTTATGTGCAGGGTCACCAACCACCAGACCAGGCTGCTCAGAGCCACATCCAGCCTGGCCTTGAGTGCCTCCAGGGATGGGGCATCCACAACCTCCTTGGGCAACCTGTTCCAGTGTGTCACCACTCTGTGTGAAAAACTTCTTCCTAATATCTCACCTAATATATATCCCCTGTCTCAGTTCCCCCAGTTCCCTGTCCCTGTCTCAGTTCCCCCTTGTCCTATCACCTCATAATCAGCCGTTCCCCCTCCTGTTTATATGCTCCCTTCAAGTATTGGAAGGACACAATGAGGTCTCCCCGGATCCTTTTCTTTTCCAAACGATTAGTAGTCATGTAGCTGTTAGGTATCAAATACAATAGAATTCCTTTCAACATTTCTAAGGGACAAATTTTACTGCTCTTGAAATAATACACTCTGATAAATACAAAGAACTCTGAAAGAATTTGAAAATGGAATAATACTCCAGTATAGAGCATAACACTTCTTTCCCTCAAATGCAAATTAAAAAATGTTTTGAATTATACATCTGATCTCGGATTCTTGGTTCTGTTATAAATTGCACTTCATACAGTTCCACAGTTCTGTAATTATAAAACTCATATGATGTTTCTGGGCAAGATCACACTGTTAATTACTGTAGAGTGGTATAGGAAACATACCAAGAAAACATGAACATTCAAGTTATAGAAAAATATTCCTTTAAAAATGTAAAAATATCTTCAATTAAGTGATACAAGCATGCAACTGATAGTGTATTGTAATAATTTGAAAGCAATTTTTAGTAGTATTCTTGAAAATGGTAAGTATCAATATATTTTGTCGAACAGACAATGACAAAAATGCAGGTGACTGCTATGCTTGTAGGTCAAAGCAGCTGAGTACATACATACATTTTTTGTACTAATCCCATCACTACCAAAAAGTAAAATCTTTTGAGTGATATAAGAACATCAGCCTTAAAGTCACCCAGGCCTTTTTTAAGACTCCAAAAATAGTTGATTTAAAAAAAGAAAAGACTCCAGTCAAGGCTAATTAAGGTCTGTCAAAATATGTGAATTGTCATCAGCAACAACAGTAGTTAAACTTTTACATGGATGGAAATTCACACTTCCTGTTGTCCAAATCTTTCGCATAACAAGTGGCAACAAGAGCAAGGGCACGAAGATATTTCAGGGCCAGCTTGCTTGAATAAATATATATATCTTTATAATCATAAGAGCACTCAGACTGATATATATAGGTATTGGAGCACGAGCTCTAAGTGGAAGTTTATGCTTTCACAAAGTTGTACATCCACATAAGGTTTGGACAGAAGTTTTCCATCATCTTCCCATTGCTTGTCTACAAGTGTCCTCTCCTACTCAATTTCAAGATATAACTGCTCCCAGCCATCTGCAGTAGATGCCTCATTTTCCCTCCCAGTGACAGTGACTGCCTGCTACTAGTCTCCACTCCCTTTATATCCCAAGCCTTCCTCTCACAAAAATGGACAGTAAAATTGACTCAATCTTTGCTGTTTAGGTGGGAATTTATTCAGACTTGCTACAAGGATGATTATATATGACCTACTCTGGGGGAGAAGGAGACTTGTGCAGGGCTGGGAGGATGAAAAATGCAATTTTGGCCATAACAGAAGACCCAAGATGCTCAGAGATGCTCAGGGCAGGCAGATTCTGCAGAAATTCTGGTGTTAAGCTCTATCAAGACCTCCCTAAGAGAACATGCTTTTAAAGTTTTAAAATCCAGCCAAATTTGGATGGATTTGAACAGTAATGGGAAAAATGCATTTCTGCTAAAAGGGCTACTGTGCCAGAAAAGTCAGCTGATAAAGCTTTCCTGGATATCACCTACATTTTTTTAAAATATTGGAAAGAAAGTCCTCTGCCACATGGTCTTCTCCTTATAAAACCATGAAAGACCTTGACTGAATTTCGGAACATATTTGGCCTGAAACAGACAATCATGTGAAACTCCTTAGAAGAATAATGCATCTCAAGTGGTCTTTTGAGAGAGATGGGGTTTTAAACCAACTTAATTTTGTATATTTAAGTGAAATTTTGAGATGAAAGTTTTGCAAGTAAGGCAATGCATGTCAAGTTGTAACAACATTTAGTTGAAAAAGACAACAGGAGAAAAGGCAAAGCAGGTACAGGACATCTTCAGACAAAACAAGTAGCATGCAGTGACGTGGTAAAAGAGGTGCACAGATTTAAACACAAAAAAACATGAAATGCAGAAACTTGAGTGACATAATCAGTGTAACAAAGACGTTATGAACATGTGAAACATCCTCTGAATAAACAGAAATACAGTGTTCAGGATACAAAGAGGTAAAAAAGCAGGAAAAAGGCAAAAATATTTTTTACGTAAAGAGAGGGGAAGATAGTAGCTCACAACCAACCCTAGAAGTGTAGAGTTTATGATACATCATAAATCTTTTAACCTAATTGGTAAGGGTTTATTTTACTTTTCTTATATTTTTAACACTACAATGCATCAGTTATTACAGATATCATCAAAAGCTTACTACTGTTATGTGGAATTACTATTTAAACAAAAATACAGAAGTGGCTAAACATGACATCTAAATGTTTTATGAAGTTCGCTGGAAGAAATTATTCTGTATCAAACATCTAAAATATCCAGTACTTCCAGATTAGCACACAACAAAGAGTTCAACTGCACTCTCATAATTCGGACACATTTCAAACAAGGGGTTAAAGAGCTTTGAATAGGGCTAACTGCTCTCAAAATGGCGTTAATGGCAGCTTCCCATCAGAAACCCAGAGCTAGTGAATATTCTGAGAAACGTTTAGAGTAGGCAGCTTACCTAAGAAAAACTAAAATGGAAAACCAGATTAGATTTTTCAAAATGGATTTGAAAAATACAACCCCATGTTTCCATCATGTACAAGATAACTAAAGTACACAGTAAGCTACATGTAACACAAGGTTCATATTCTTTTTCTCAGAACTGTTTTGTTAATACATATGTGTTTGCATGTAAGGAAAGGGTAGGAGAGCATTTCTTGGTACAGAATAAGGAAATTGTTAGGCACTAGACAGCATTTTAAATAAGAGATTTCAGTCGTGAAAAGTTTTGTTCAGTGGCAGTGAAGGGGGCACAGCCTGGTAACCGGTCTCCCAGTTTGTTCTGTTCCTTCTGATGCCCTCTCCTTGTTTGCAAGTTCTATTACACAACATTAAGGTATCTCACCAATTACACAGTCATGCTGTAGAACCCACTCCGCAGGAGGACCCAGGAGTGATAATAGATATGAACAAGATCAAACTGTCAGAACATTGGCTAGTTTCAATGCTTAATAATTCTAGTAGGCTAATAAGCAATGTGTGGATTAAAATCCTTCACCTGTTAAATTGTTATTTTTAGGCATAAAGTATCTGAAACAAAATGTTTCAACTAATTGGCTGACTCATGAGCTATCTCATTGCTTCAGTTCATTTTGGACCTACTTCTAAAAGGCCAGTATTTTATTTTAAAAGAATAGTTGGTTGAACTGCTTCATTTCTGCCATTTCACAAGCCAGCCCTGGAATAGTCATTGATGTCTTCTATCTTATTTTCTTTTTATAATCTTCGAGGGTGTATTTCAATACTTCTCACAGAGGGGTGAGGGTGCATTAAAAACAAAGGGGAAAAAAAAACCCGCAGTAGAACAAACCCACAAACTACTTTCTTTATCTAATATACGATCTCAGCTAATAGTCTGATAAACTTGCATCCATTTAGGGTGTTTATCTTAAGCCAGGAAACTAACACTCAGCACAGTGTGCTGTTTAAATGGAATGTATGACAAATTGATGTAGGGCTCACTGCTGACAATATTTTCCAATGATGCTGAAGTAGCGGATGTTTTCACCCAAAATATAGAATACAGTGTCCTCAGATCCAAGGACAGTGATATACTCTAACTGAGGATGTGCCAGATTATAAATTCTGTTCTCCTTTATACCAGATTGCACGAAACAGGATGATCTAGATAATATGATTTCATAATTCTTTAATTCAATTAAACTAATAACTTATTAAAAAGTTAATAACAAAACCAAATTATTAGAAAATAGAACTACTTTTTATCAGTAGTATAAATTATTCGAAAGGCAAAACTGTCATCACTTAATGATTTTTTTTCATTATATCTGCAAGTAAAACTTTAAAACCTATACACAATTAAATGAATGCATACGAATAGCTGTCACACACACTCAGTGTAGTTTCAGAACATACTCAGCTATTATTATTGCAAATATAGTAAAGAGTACAAACCAAAAAACAGATTTCCATCTTTTACACACATACTAATTGGAGAACACCTTCTATAAATTTGTAAGAGCAACAGCAGGTGTTTTCAGACTACTGTGAGGTGTAAATCTAAGTTCTTTTCTCAGAAGTTAAATTTTTATGGAAAAACAACAGTTGTCATTCCTTAATCTAAAAAATACTTGAAAAATTCTAAGAAAGTCAGCTGAAAAATCACTCATAGCCTCATCAGTTTGTCAAAGCACACCAGTATATAGCTAAGGACTATGTTATTTTGCAAACTCCTAAATGTACACAGACAGTTTCAGCCCCAGAATAAGTATCAGAAAAATCTGTAAGAGTGCTTACTTTGGCTGGAGGAGAGCTGTTGTGTTGTGCCTCTTTTAGTTGTTCATTTTCTTCAGGTAGGGTTGGCATGGTGGACAGAATGGAGCACGTTGATCTGCAATGTGGATTATCACGACCATACACTGCTGAGAATGAGACTGTTTCAAGTTAGCCTGAAGGTATAAGTGCTGCAAGGCCTTGTGATCCACTAGATGTGTTAGATGCCAAAAATGCATTATCAAATTCATTTTAAAAGCTATGGTCTAACACAGAGATCACTTTACAATAACAAACAGTATTAAAGTTTAAAATTAACTATAATCTTGTGTTTTATTAAACTAAAGTTTTCAAGGTCAAATATAATTTTATAAATGCATTTAACCTCCCTTTCTTGTTGCTATTCCCACTCCTCTTCATGTCACAGATTTTATTTATTACTTTTTTTCCTACTGTGACTGTGTTGGCTGTAATTAAACTATCTCACTATAGATCTTCCAAGAAGAAAACAATATCCTGGATATATGTAACATTCCTTTTAGTAACCAAGAAAGTCCTAATGCCACGGAATATGATCTCAGATTGCAAAGAAGGGAAGGTCTTTAGAAGGAAAACTGGTCAGTCAAATCACAACACTCTTTCTTTGGGCATGTGCTGAGGCTCTTTAAAGACCTAGGTGAGTTGGGCAAATACTATAAACACTTGCTGTGTGTCTGCCGAAGACTACAACAATGTACAACATTTTCAAAGCAAAATAGTGGTTATGCTTGAATGGGAAAAAAGAAATCACTGCTGACTAGCTGAAAAAATTATTGTTTCTAGTATCAACTTGAGCTACTGCCTTCACATTGTAATCAGAGAAATGATTGGTACTAATCCTTACAGCTACAGAAGTATTACAAGACTTACTCTGACACCTACCGGACAATTAAGGAACAGTTCTCACGAATAAATCATTTGACTCCTTGATGGTGCCTACAGACAACAGATTAGATGATTAACAGAGACGACGTGATACATAATGACTGACTAGACAAGTAAAATATATTTCCTTGACAGTTAATTTGCAGCTGTGTATAGTATTGTGTTATAAACTCAAAGTCTAATGTAGCAACAACTTACAGAGTGGGCCAAGGAGATGAATATACACATCAAGTACTGGTTCTACGACCAAAAAATATTGTCTTCTCTGAAACCCAAGTTCCTAATTTCATCATTATTCTTTTACTGCTCTGTAGACGAGGACAGAGTAAAAGAGTCATGATGGCGAGATGAGTTCATATAACTTTAAGGTATTTGACAACCTAACATCAATTTTCTAGTTTTCCTTTCCATCTCAGGGAAGGGAAGATTATTAAAGAACATACTGATTTATTGAGGCTGGCAATTAAAATGATCAAAATACTCTTAAAAAAAATCAACAAGAGAGAAAAATAGTCATAGGAAATACCAAAGCAGCCACAGTACTTAGAAATTCCTCACCTCACCTTTCACAGAACTAGGAAAACCTACAAAATGTGTGAAAACTTTGGACTACAGAAGCAGTTAGGACCTATGCTTTTATTATGCTTCTACCCCATTACTAGAAGAATAATCAGACACAAGGCCATTCATATGAAATTTAATGCATAATTAATATCCTGAAAAGAGCTACAACAGCAACTACCTGTACACAAGCATTTCTGTGCTTTCAAAACAAACAAACAAACAAACAAACAAACAGAAACAAAACACCACCACAATTATTCCATTGACGTTCATTGGTAAAGACTGTGGAAAGATGCAACATAAATTATGTAGTTGTAAAGTCCAATAGAAATACAATCTCTTTTCCCTCCTCTCTCTCCAGTAAGTTTTCTATTTCTTACACAAGACATGCTAATCACGGTAAGAAAATCATGTTTCAATGTTATATAGATAATTTGAACCTGCTACAAGTGAGTTTCTATTGTACTGCAATAAGAGGAAGCTCACATTTCTGTCAAGGTTTTATCCACCTCTAACTGCATATGAAAGTAGAGAGTTTTCCATGAAAGAAGGTATATTTTTCTTTAATAAACATTTTTGAATCATCCTTAAAGTCTTAAATATGATGGAATACAGACCTTCATGATAACATATTTAATAAACCCACAGAGATTAAGCAGACAGCAGTTAAACTTCTGTGATTCAGCAGTGAAGTATTTTTGTTTCAAGCAACAGTCACTGACTATGAAGGTGAGACAGAGGCAAAGTAATGAAGAAAGATGAAATGGAGTAGCTCTTCATTCCCGTAAAAAAAACCCTGGCATCTGTTGCAACTTCTGAGTTTGCAACACCTGAAATCCAACAACAACAACAAAAAGTAAAAAATAACGAGGACAGATGAATTGTTCATCTAACCTCTGTTAGTGTTTGCTTTATGAATTTATGGGAATGTTGAGCTTAAAAAAAAAATCAGGAGAATTTCAAGTCATGGCGAAAAGTGTACTGGCAGAGTCTCATGCTGAGCTGCATAGGCTATTGTGTCAAACTGTTTGATTCCCTGTCCCAGTTGAGCTCCCAGTGCACACTAAAGAAAAGTAATGTAAGTCATTTAAACAAGAAAGAGCTGTTAAGCACAGCAAGTTTCAGTTCATTTTTCAGATTTAAAAGCAAATATCTTTGTGAAGGAAAAAAGTCAACAGGCTAAACTGAAAATAGAAAGAGAAAAATCCTGAGCTGTATTGTCTCGGAGATGCAGCATTCAAAGTACAGCCAAAGGAAAACAGAGGGCAAGATGATGATGAATTTATGCCACCTTAAAATTCCTGAGATTTGGAGTAGACTGAGTTCAGTCCATATTTGACATAATAAGAACCTTATTCAGACTTCTTTACAAAGCTATCTTAAACACAGGAAAAATCTCCATGTCTTTGAACTGCTGATTAGTAAGAATATGTGTTCTTCTGACCTTCTTTCTTTTCCCAATACCTCTCCAGAAGGAAAAAACAAACAAAGAAACAAAAAAACAACCACAGTTCTGAGAATTGTACAAGTAAAGCATACGTCTGTTGATTCACAGTCTGAGGTTTCTTGAAATAAACATGGTATCTGCATAACTTGATGTTACTGCTGCAGACCACAAGTGAGCCAAAGCAAGGGCTAACGCTTCTGTTATTTCAACAAAATATATAAGCATATAGTTCCATTTATAAACTATGTGAATTCTAATTCCTAAAGAATTTTCAGTCCAAAAGCTTATTTTTAACTTGCACAACATTCATAAAAACACTAGGCCAAATCCTTTGTAAATGTTGCTACTCTTAAACAGCACAAAACATCGCATCTTGTAAATGCAATGGACATAAGGAAGGAAATAGTCTTCTTGCCAAGAGTTTTGCCATTTTCTGCATGAGTTACTGCCTTCTGATAGCAGTGGGAAGGGAAAAGATTTAGAAATGTTGGAAACATTAGACATTACTGAAGCAATGTTCTTCCATTACTGCTGAAGAGACCTTATGCCTATCAGATAATGAAAATTAGTAAATGTCAGTGAGAATCAAAGCATGTAGAGAAACAGTTCATCAGAACACTTGAACAAGAACTAGAGGAGCTTATCTGGAACTCAAAGATATAAAGAAAGAAATGTCCTTGAAAAATTTATTTCCTGGAAAGAGTACAGCCTTGCAATCTGCCAAAATTCAGTATGCCTACCTAAAAAGCACCTTAAAAACTTACTGAGCAGTACATGGAGAGTAACTACCCTGATACTAAGCACGGTTCTTTGCCAGTTTTGGGAATCACACTATCATTAGCTTTGCAAACTTTATATCCTTTCCTCAAGCATAAATGTACGTCAGTAAAAAAAGAAAATCATACATTAATCTATGCAATAAAAACAGAATTTTTCCCCCTCAAGATATTAAAAGAATAGGTAACAAAATACATCTACACCTTAAAAATGGCCCAGGTGAAGGATATGTCACTAATTAGAAGATTCTCTCATTTCTTTTAAGTATTGAATAAGCTCTTTCTGACCTAGATCTGTCTTCTGAAAGTCTATCATGAGATTATTGTAGTATATTATATCAGAGTAAATGGTTCCCAAAACAACTCCAGAAACTGCAAAAGCTTTAAAAGTATGTTTAAGAATTCAAAATTAGATACTTGTAGACATTCTGAACTCACATATCACAAGAAGAACAGATGTGGGCGAACCTCTAGAATGTTAGCCTGCATGAGCCTTTTGCACCTATAAAATGAGTTAAAACAAACAAACAAACAAACAAACAAAACACTTATGCTTTTCATTAGACAGTGTAAAGAAGGAAAGAAGAGGGAAAAAAAAAAACATACAAGATGGAGTGCTTCTTAACGTTTGTCTGTTACTGTAAACTTGGTACTTAAAATAGTCAGGAAAAGAATGATCCCAAGATCAAATTTGTTGTCAGATATAGATCAGTGAATGCAGAGAACTTACTTTTACCACTGTGTAGGCTTGGAGTACAATCTCCAGGAAATGGTGATCCGGGAGCTCTATTCCTTAAAAGGGAAAAGTATTTAGAGGCCCTTGGCTTTCAGTGTGTTCCCTCTGCAACTCATTTTACCACAGCAGATAAAACTAAGTACGATCATTTAACTTACCCTCTCTGAGTCACAGCTGAGTACAGTGTTAGCAAAAGCTTAAAGGTGCTTTACTCCATCTCCACAGATAGTTTAGCAACTGACCTCAAGTTCTCTGAAATAAACAATTAAGAAAGCATTATATAAATATTTTTTTACCTCATATTGCCTCTGTTCGAGTCAAGGAACTCTCATTTGTCAACAGTGGAAGTTATGTATTCATGAATGCAGCTGAGCTGCACAACCGTGTGATGCTTTTTGCAATGTTTTTCTTTGTTGTTCTGTATAGTAGTTGTAAAACATTACCATATTAGAAAGATATTTTTTGCATTCCTTTTGTACAGCTGAAAAGCATATCGAATTTATAGAGTATTTTGAATTACATTTTGCAATTTTGAATTACATAAGAAATGCTAAACTTTTTATATTCAAACCAAATGTGAGCAAACTGACGTATTTTCCATATGTTTGTGCCATAACCTTCTCAAGTATGAAGCATTTAACATACACAAACAGTTCACAGGTATAAATAAGCAATGTCAGCATGTGAAAAACAAAAACAACAGTATAAAAACTCAATCAGAATGTCTTAATAGAATTTCTTCAACATTTTGCGTTGGTGCTTCAGAATTTTTGTACAACTTAAACCACAAAACAACTTTTGACCTGTTTACATTCTTAAGTTCTGCTCACATTATTATCTATACAATTATGCAGGGTAGAACCTGAAAGACAGAGAAAACGCTTCTTTTTAAAGATACAGAGCACGACCTCTGGGACATGCAAAGGTTGTGCAACTGCTACATGAAAGCTTCTATTTTCATTTTGAGAAATATGGAGATTAATTCCCAAAGAACTTAATACTACTAGACAATTAGAACAGTTTCAGGTTACAAACTAAGAGCAAAGGGATAAATGTGAATAACACTGCTGCAATAATGACCTCATAAAGTTCAGCAAGGTTAAGGACAAGGTCCTGCATGGGGGCTGAGGCAAATCCAGTCATTTAAAGAAGCATGACCAGCAGGTCAAGGGAGGTGATTATCTCCCTCTACTCTGCTCTTGTGAGACCCACCAGAAGTTCTGTGTTCAGCACTGGTGCTCCAGGACAAGAAGGACATGGACCTGTTGGACTGTATTCAGAGGATGGCCATGAGCACCTCTCCTATGAAGACAGGCTGAGAGAGCTAAGGTTGTGCAGCCTGGATAATTGAAGGCTTCAGGAGGTCAGGAAGACCTCACTGCAGGTTTACCATAACTAAAGGGGGCTAAGAAAGCTGGAGAGCAATTCTGTCAGAGGCTGTAGCAGGAAAAGGGGTAATATCTTTAAGCCAAAAGAGGGCAGATTTAGATAAAGTATTATAGGATGCTCCGTCTCTGAAAATATTCAAGGCCAAGTTGAATGAAGCTTTAAGCAATCTGGTCTAGGGTGCTGTCCCTGCTTGTAAACTAGATGGTCTTGAATGTCTCTTCCAACACAAACTATCTCATGATTCTATAATACATCAAAGAAAGAAACCAATATAAGAGTAAGGAGAAAGTAGTGAGTATCTATCCCTTGCCTACTCAGATTCTAGCAAACTTTTCTCTCTCAAACTCAATGGGTACAAATCTTTCTCAAGAAGAGAAACTACCACATAAGACTTGCTTTATGAAGAGGCACTGCAAGAAAAAATATTTTTCTGCTTCCCGTTTTCCTTATACCTCTACAGATAAAACTTGATGATTTTAGCCATTTGCTTGAATGAGAGAAATAAAAATCTACATTAGAGGAGAAAAAAATGACTTTTTGATGCATGTTCCTATTAATCTGATTGGAAGCATCCAGAAGAATTTATCTAAGTATGTCTGGTTATGGCTTAAATCTCTGCTAAAAATAAAAAAAAATTGGTGGAGAGGTGATTCTGGTACACTATAAATAAAACTGACTCCTACAACAATGTACTTGGTTTCATCGTGTGCCTGAAACTTTAAATAATCAGTATCAAGAAACTTGGTAACTCCAACAGAGTAACATACAATGTTTTCTGGGAATTCTGTACTTAAAGTCCATTTTGGTCTCAGCTTTAGGCTTTTCTCTTAAACCTTAGAAGAGAAATCAATTAGCTTGATTTCACACACAGGCAATTATTTTTAACATAATTAAATGCAACTTAAGACTTACTAGATGGGAAAATAGATGGGAAAACAGCCAAAATAAGGCTGTGAAATATCAGTCATCTTTGTTTTAGCAATAATTATTTTTGCTTTATTGCCAGTTAATCTTTAGATTTACTTCTCTTGCAAGTACTTTTCTTCAAAAAGTGGAGGAAATGAAAACAAAATGATACCATATGCTCAATCTTCTGAAAAAATAGCAGTGAAAGCCACCTATATATTTCACCGACTTTCTGAAAGGATTATGCACAAATCCCCATTTATGTAGGAAGATGTCCAACAGTGAAGCAAGTAGAGATTAAAGATTTTAATCATGGTAGGTCCTTTACCTCACTGCTTACTTCAGAAACTCATTCAAAGTCATATAAGAAAATTTAGCTACTCATGAATAACTGCACGCATATGCCCAGGGTCAGATTAGGTCACAGAATAGTCATAAGTTCCTAATTGTATTATCCTGAAGTTTTTGGATACGTCTCCTGCATTTTAAATTTCCACTTATCACTTCTAACAGTATTTGCTTTTTATCATTTCAGCAATTCTTTCCCTTGTTTTGTGTAAAAGGAAAGAAAAATGAACATAAAAATATCACTCTACCATTCAGAGATACTTGCTTCCATGAGTTCAATTTTAACTTCCAAACATAACTTTTACCTCATCTGACTTCCTACTGACCTTATTTTTTTCTTCTCTTTAATCATCTGTGGACTTTCAGATAGAATGACAAGAACAAGACAGCAAGAAGCACATTCCGGGTCTCTAAGAAGCCACCTGGGCTGAACTTTGAGTTACTTTAACATCCAAGGGCTGCTCTCAGAGAGTGCTCTCAGACACTGGTCCATAACACTAGAAGTGGATCTCGATAGCATGGCAGAAGAGGTTGAGACTTCCCACCACTATCCTGCTACATTTCGTTGCCATGTGACAGATGGAAGCAGAGGGGCAGTCTGACAAAATGGCATCTGGTATGGAAGTGCAGATGAAACAAAGATATGCCTTTGAATTCCTTCACGCAGGAAAAAATGGCACCCCTTGACATCCGTTGACATTTGCTGAACGTTTATGGAGACCAAACAATGGCTGTGAGAACAGTGAGGCAGAGGGTGATGCATTTCAGCAGTGGTGACAGCAAGAGTGGGTCACCTCTGCTCAAGCAGATATTTACAGATGAAGCAAGTAGGCTTGTGTTCTCCACTGGTGAAAATGCATAGCTAATAGTAGTGACTAGGTTAAAAAATAGCACTTTGTAACTGAGAATTAATCAAGTAGTGTTACTGTGTTCTTCGTATGTGTTGTAGTTTCTGTGGAAATAAATAGGGGGCATTACTTTCAGAGTGACCTTCATGTGCACGTATTTTGTGAACAAAATGGCACAAGTGATATTAACTCACAGTTAATGAATTCAGCTAGCATTAGCAAATCTGATTATCAGAAGATTGTCAGATCACAAGGCAGAGTTGACATGTTTCTTAACTTGCAGACTATTTTTTATAGCCTTGAAGGAAATGCAATTTACAAGAAGATTGTGAATACAGAGTGGGTAGATATTTGGCATGGAGAATAAGGACTTCTAAGCATAACAAACAGCGTATAAGAAAGTATGAAGAAGAGTGGGAGAATCATGCATTAAGTGCCATTCAAGAGGGTAGTTCACAAAGAATGCAAAGCTAGGAAATATCTGGAGGAAAAACTTATGATCGTATGATCAAGATATCAACCTTAAAAAAAAGGAAATTAAAAAGAGCTGAAAGCTAAATGTGGGTAAAAAGATGTTGCTCTTTTCCTCTTGGATAACTTACCATCCACAAAAATATGTTAGTTTCTTTAGAAAGAAGCATCAGCCTTGTCTTATGGACTTTTTCAAGCTCTCTGATGCAAGAACCATACATTGATAAAGTGCCCAACAGAAAAAGATCATGACAATTTCAATAACATCCGTAGATAATAAAACAGACAAACATACTTTCGCCTAAATGAGCATCATTTAGTCAGTAACAGTCATTTGGGTTTCTTTTCCTTCTGTTCCTTCTTATAGATTTGGAGAAACCTAGAAACATCTCCAATATCTGGACTGCATGTATTATAAATCACATTCTAGTTACACATTTATTTTCATCAATGTTGTAGGTTGAGTTGGGAACTTGAGCTGAGATTCTCTGACTGGCATTTGACAACATTCTTACTTAATGTAAAAAGAGGACAAATTTGTTTGGGGAAGGGGAGTCAAGTACAGGAAAGAATAAATTTCATGTCCTTTGCTGCCTTTCCTCATCCCTTCCCTCTGCCCCCCCCCCATCCCCCTTCCATTTTAAAAGTTATTATATGAAGTAATATTTTCAAGTTCAATTTTTACATATAAGTGTTTTTAAAATAATTATAGGGCAGCTGGATATCTACTTTCTATAATTTGGAAAAAGTTACTAGCAAAGGCTTAATTCAGAAACAAAAGAAAGCTGGAGGCAATTAGGGCAGAACACTATTGCCTAGTGACCCAGGATTCTTATTGTTAGCAAGCAAAACATTTTCCAAATGAAGAAATTGAAAATTCTTTCTTCCCATAGTTAAAAAGGGTAATCCCAGACAGCATACTTTGTTGAACAAAACAACAATAAATAGATTTATTTGGAATCCTAAAGTGCACTTGCAATATTTTGTTTTTGAGCAAGATGAATACACTAAGCTCTCCATCTTGCATAGACAAGCGGTAAAGCAGCAAAATAAATTTTTAATTCTCTTTTTATGCTTCCTGCACAAAATGAGATTCACAGTGGCTTACTTCAGTGATATGCACAGATGTCTGCAATTGCAAAAATCTGCACACCCGAAAGAGCATGAATGTGTCCCACTTTCTTGCTTATGAGAAAAAGAATTATGAGTTCAGTTCTGCTGAGTTTTTAAAACATTGCTTTACACAAGGAAAGGAATAACTGCAGTACTAACTTAGTCAAATAATTTGCC